TCCCCTGGAATTAGTCCTGGAGCAGGAGACTGCGATGCTGCTGAATCATCAGAACGCCTGGCGTTACTGGGACTCGGCCCAAAAACGGGACGGGGGGGGGTCTATTCATTTCCGTTTCACCCCCCCCCCCCCGACCCCACAAAGGGTACCCACCCCCAGGTGCACGAAAAAAAATCCACCAGAAAGCGAATAGGGACTGCTCAAGAGTGATAGATGATACTAGTACCCGGCTATTACTGTCCGGTGCTCATCTCTCAGCACATGCAGAGTGGGAACGCGCCAGCCAGCTTACTAAGGTGCGTAAACATCCATCCTATATTTTGTGAATTACAGTTTTGAGACCAAATGGCCGAGTGCTTTTGCGAATTGCAATTTGTTCCAAAGAAGAAACGCATAGATCAAACAGCAACGTGGATTTGCGGTTTTTGAGGGGGACCTTTTTTGCCGGTGTTTTTGCTTTCGGGCTCGTGTTAGTTTCAGGTTTCTCCCTTTTTTGGAGCGGGGTAAAGGGAAACCACAAGGAACACCCGAATGGTGCTATTTCGGTTTGTGTCAAAATAGGGGCACCCAAATAATATAAACTCGCCTCAGCCTTGCATTCGACTTGCGGAATCGAGACTTTTCTCACAAAGTGCCTGCTTACCTGCCTCACACACTTACATGCAAACTTGGCCACTAGAGTTTGGCCCTGTTTTGTTCGGCCGGATTTCCTTGCTCTCAAACAACTGAAATCATCCTGGGAACTTCGTACCCGCATGTCCAGTCTATCGCAATGAACCATGTGCAGTGCAAGTGATGGGGTCCTTAATGGACCCTTTGTCAGGTGCCATGATACTTAAAAAACAAACAAACAAAAAACATGTTTTCCTTTTGGCTCCCCATTAAACCATCTCCTGGACCCCTAAAAATTGGGCCTATGGGTATTCCTTGTCACCCCCCTCAAGGCCTTTTTGCTTGGGCGGATGGGCTGGGATCGCCGTCATAGCCGCCTGGCCCAGCCTTGGGGTCTCCCAAGATGTCCCCTTACAACATCACCCCCAAGGCATACTCACGCCAAAAAGGGCCAACAAGGTGATGTCTGAAACCCGCCAAAAAGACAAGACGGGAAGTAGAAAAGGAATCGAGCCCTGGAAAAGGAAAACCCAAAGAAGGCAGGCGGGCATGGTGCAGCAGCCACACATCTGACCAGGCCTCAGCTCTGCCAAACCCAAGCCCTTCGAGGAAAAAGCTTTGGGGGAAGCGGGACCCATGCGAAAAACCCCTTAGGATCCTCATGAGAAGGTTCATGTAAAGCAAGCTCAACCGAACCCGGGGATCATGGGAAAGTTGAATTTTTGAGCTGGCTCTTTTTTGGGGGTCTCCTGTTCTATGGTCAGAAATTCACAATTTCTACTATCGCAGAACATGGCTTTACCCAATTTCTCCTCTGGGCCGTGCGGAGTCCCGAAAATACGAGGAAAATATCCAGGACTGCCGTCAAGCGATGCCAACAGAGGGTGTGCTTTGCGCAGTGTCAAAGTCACCTAAAACTCATGTACAACAGGGCCCAAATCTCAAAAGCCATCAATACCAAGCTTGGAGTGCGTCATCTCTGTGTCTCACTCCAAGTGTTGAGTCATCTTTGGGACACGAGCAGGCCGCAATCTTCCATTTGCTTCAGGTGTTTGGCAAAAGTGTGAACATACTTCCAGCAGTGATAGATTCCAATTCAAACCAACAAGGAGAAATAAAGCTTGCTGTTTGTCTCTAAAATTGTTTTTTTGTCTCTAAAAAGAGATTAAATTTCAATTCAAACCAACAAGGATAAATAAAGCTTGTTTTGTGTCTCTAAAAAACATAAAATTCCAATTCAATCCAACAAGGAGAAATAGAGCTCGTTGTTTTGTCTCTAAAAAACATTAAAACAAATCAAACCAACAAGGAGAAATAAAGTTGTTTTTGTCTCTAAAAAGAGATTAAATTTCAATTCAAACCAACAAGGATAAATAATGCTTGCTTTGTGTCTCTAAAAAACATAAAATTCCAATTCAATCCAACAAGGAGAAATAGAGCTAGTTGTTTTGTCTCTAAAAAAACATTAAACAACATCCAATTCAAACCAAAAATCAAACCAACAAGGAGAAATAAAGCTTGTTTTTGTCTCTAAAAAGGCTGGGCGTAATGCATGTGTCCAACTTCCGGGGTTCCCTGCGACTCCGGAAAACGTGACCCCGCAGCACCTGCTCCACACTCTGACGGGCCTACACGTCTGCTCCATAGAAATCTATGAGGTCACCACAGCAACTGCTGCAGAAATGACGAAGTCTTTAGGGGTACCTTCCCCGTTCTTTCCAGGGACCCTTCTTTTCAGGCCACCATCGAACATTCAGGGGAAATAGCCGGTTATTGAAAAGAACGATGGTTGAAAAGAATTGGGAATCAACCCCTGGAAGAACACTCACTCTTCACAAATGCATTGAAGCGTGACTGCCTCATTCGCTCTGTCATGTTTTTGAGGCTGCCCCTCTTTGTTTCGTGGTTGTTTACAGGCAAACCATTTGGGTGTCTCTTTTTTGAGGCTACCCCTCCTTTTTGTTGTGCCGTTTAAAGGGAAACCGTAAAAGGAAAACGTTTTGCGATTCATCTTCGGGGCCGTCCAAACATGAAAAGACACCCAATCCACCATTGTTTACCTGAGTCATAATTAAAACCCGGTATTAAAATGGTCTACCCAAAAAACCATGTAAAGAAGTAAGAAGGCGGCCGAAGCTGCTTGTGGTTGGGATTGCCCCTTACTATCCTTGCTCTGGCCGGGTTTTCATTGTGGCACACCTGAGGAGCTTCCTCCCAGTTGGGTCCTTGCCGGTCTTCTTTGCTGGGGGTTGACCCCGTGAAACGAACCATCTTGGGCGGTCAAAACAACTAGGTCCTCCAGATTTGAGAGGTTAGAATAAGGGTAGCCGACTTTTATTGTAGTCTATTTTAGTAGGGTCCCGAACCCTCCCAACCAAAAAAGGGGTGAGAAAGGGCACCTAGCTGGGGGACCTAGACAAATTGGCTTGTCGCTTGTCAAACCCTCTCGCCTGAGCTGGGGCCAGCCGCCAGGCAACCTGATGAGAAGAGATGTCTGCCTCTACACCAAAAAACAACATGCAAACAGCAACACAGCAAACAAAAACAAAAAAAACGCACAGGGTGTACCTCAAAAAGGGGAATCACCTCAAACACGGGGATTACACAACAAGATTATTATTACAGGGGGACTATGGTTTCCCAGTGGCTTGGGGAATTGCCGCAATGGTACGCCCGGGATGCACTCAAACTGCTTTTGAAGATAGCCCAGGCGGCGCAGCCAAGCACCAACGCAGAATGCATGTGCGCAACCAGCCAGCCGCATGCACATAAACAAACACAAGCGCATGCACATGCACATGAACAACCACACGGGCACAAAGGATCAACACACAGACAAACATACAAACAAAGAACAATGGAAGGACAACAACAAAAAACAAACAAACGCTGTTCATTCAAAAAAACAAAAACAAAAACAAATAAATGAAATCAATCAAACAAACAAACAAACAAACAAACAAACAAACAAACAGACAAACAAACAAGCACACACGCAAGCAAGCAAGCAAGCCAAGCAAGCAAGCCAAGCAAATGCGCAAATACGTAAATACGCACATACGCAAATACGCACACACAACAAACCACCACACCACAGCAAACCAAACCAAACCAAACACACAAACATACAAACATACAAAGAGACAGCACAGGTTGACCAATTCAAAACATCTCATTCGACCTTTTTTACATGGCGAATGCATCCGAAACTTCTCTCCCGAGCTGTGGCATCCTGGCCAGCGCAGTTCGTGCGGCCAGCAGGAGAACCACCCCGGCAGTGCACCTGCGAAGGTTGGTAGCCTTCAGAAAGGATTGGGTCCTCTGGGTTCAGTATGCCGCATGGAACCTGACGTTCTTTTGGGGGTCCTGGTTTGGACCATTTTCCCTTTAAAGGGACCGGGTCCCGAACGTCTGGTTTTCATGTTGATTGGTGGGAGGGTAGTTAAAACCAAAAAAACACACACTGCCAGAATCACATGTGATGCTTATGAAAGTCACAGCGGCATTCACAAGGAATACCTTCTGACTCACTTCCATTCTGCAAATCAAGGCTGACATCGAAGCGCCGGTTTGGGACCGGAATGGCAAGTGACTGCGTTTTTATTTCGCATGTAAGAGAGCCAATAGCACATCCTTGGCGGAGCAGAATCTCTGAGATTTCTTTTGTGGGTTGTCTGGATGTGCAGTGTTCACTCAGCCAACCTAAAAAACCCACGGCAAGGCTCCACTTTTCTCCTTGAGAGCCTTCACAGCCATTGCCTACAGCTCAGCGCAAGATTCGAGGCTGTAGCAAAAGACAATGTCGGAAAGGCAGTTCCACTTCCACAAAGAAGCACGCAGCAGTCACGACTTTGTGGAATCAAGGATCGCAAGTCTTACGTATGCGACATAAAAGGTGAGAAAGAGATTGGCTTTCTCCACTGCCTTGTGCTGTGTCCCCCTCTGGCTGGGGCAGGGCGGTATTCAGAGCCGGCTAGAGAGGATCAACCGACTCGAGTGCTGGATGAAAACCAAGTCGTTGCCATTTCCCTGCCATTTGATCCTCTCTTTTTTCACCGGTCCGGCGCCACGTCTCAAGATGTCTCAAGAGTTCTCAAGAGTGTCCGCACGGAAAATGGGGAATCTAAAGGGATCCAAGTGCCGCTTGATGGCAAGCAAGCTCTGCCTCGAATCATCGACTTGAGTTTGGCGTATTGGGCGTGACACTGCGCGTCTATGTTTGAGTTGGTACCCTTTTTGGGGTGGTTTCTTGCCGGGACCCCAAAAGGAAAACCTGCCTGCTCGCCATTTTGGGGGGTCCAACCGCAAATACGACAAACCCACTTTGGTTGCGAGGCTGGTGGTCACGGCGCTTTTTTGACGGGCCCTGCACGCAGGACAAGCCGCGCTCAGAGGCAGAGTCGTTTGGGAGTTCCTGGCAAAGCTGGGCTCAGTGGCCGTGCAAGTGCCTCGTGCCAACATCCCTCTGCACATACATACACATACCGTATTAATACAAATATAAATATAAATGCAAAAAATAAATAAATAAATAAACAACTAAATAAATCAATATATATATATATATATACATATTCACGCTGAGTCAATCTGAGACCCGATAGGTTGACTTTCTGCTGATGATTCTTTTGTTGTATAAATGGAAAGCCAAAGAGGAACAAGAGCACGAGGTTATGCACGGCCTCACAAATGGGTGGACATGAATCCTCATGTACCGCAGGGTCCATGCCACACCATGTGGGAGATACCCGCAGCCAGCGACAGGTTGTGCAAGTCAGGCAATTAATCGGTAGCTTTCTTCGAAGTCGCCGTTTTCAACAGAGAGCCCGCCGCCTCTCCTAAGAGACAAGCGGCACGGCGGATGCGAACAATTCCCGACGCGCCCCGCGCCACATAGAACGTTTTGCTTTCCAAGTACCAGCTGGGTGCATGTGTCGTTTTTAGAGGACCCCTCAAAAATGGTGGTTTCCTTTTGGTGTCCCTAACCCAAAAACAGGTAGCCTCCAAAAAAGACAGACCGGGTCTGTGAAGGGAGCTAGCCAGTCCGGATAAAAGGTCCGAACCCCCTCCCAAAAAAGTAAATAACATAAAATACAAATGGTCCACCTACCCAAGATGGTGTCCAGTTCCACTAAGCCACCTCGGATATACAGCTACAGCCACTGTAAGGGTGTCCCGAGAGTAATGATTTGGGAGTACTGGAAACCAGCTCAAACACCAGTCCCAACTCAAAAAGCTCGAACTTGTTGCAGTTTATCCAGGCGCTGGATCTCTTGCAGGTTGCAAGAACTGCACTGAAAACAACTCACTTCAGGAGTGAGTTAGCCTAAGGCATTTCGATGGGAAGACCCCAACAAAGTTTGAAGTCCAGGCACATCCTGGAAGTGAGACAACATGCACATACTCAAGGCCGTTTTTTTTTTTTTCTTTTCGGGACCCCTCCTAGTCGCTACCATGGGATTTAAAAGCTCTAGGTCTGGCCGAAATCTTCGGAACCCCTCCTCACAAATAATAAGCAACACTGACCGAGTTGCAAACCGAACCGCTCCCTTCGGATTTTTCCGCCGCCTTTCTTTGGGGAGGTCTCACGCAAGCGGGCAGCCCAGGACTCCAACTCCTGGCATCGACGCGTTTCTCGGCCGCGGGCTTGGAGGGCTCAGAAGGCCCAGAGTGGTGTCCGGAGTGAGCAGTTGTTTCCTTGTAAAACCCGACTAAAAGGGGTAAGGCTGACCCCATATTCCACCAGTGAAAATCCATGGGTGCCCTTGAAAAGCTTAGATAAGAAAGAAGAACTTTTGTCCAGGAGCATCAACCCCTGTGTAACAAGGTGGGGGCCCCTCCAACAGTGGTTTGATGCCCCACTAAAATCAGGAACACCTCCATAGTAATAGACTGGAGTTGATTGATATGGGGTCAACATTATTTGGGCAGTAGGCTAGTTGATATATGGCTTGTCAAAGGGATGACCGTTTCCCTTTGACTTGCTGGTGCGACAGGTAGGGAATTCCCCTGACCCCGGTGTGGGGAACGAACCGGATCCGGGGATTCCCGAACAACGGAAACCATCGGGGATGGTTTATCTCGGGGTCATTCCCTCATTCCCTGCTGAGCAGGAGCAAGTAAAAGGGGTCCATGTTGAGAAACTGACATGGGGGTTGATCAATATTCCTGGCCCCCAAATGGCCATGGCTAACTTTTTCCACTGAGTGGGGGAAAATCAAATTTTCTGGGTGGTGTTCCCCAATGCTTCGATCAAGCCCCAAGTTTTCTTGGTGCTCCAAGCCCTCAAAAGCTCGATCTCCTGTTGTAGGCTTCACGGAAAAGCCAAGTTCGTGTCCAGAGGTCTAGGGGAAAATTCGTTCACACTGACAGGCCATTGATTTGTGCTGCTTACTCTTCTATTTGACCCCTGGAGAAAGTACACATATTTCCAGTGGTGATAGATTCCCTTTAAAACCAACAGGGGAAATACCAAATATTCTTAAGCAAATGGAAGTACTATGGCTTCGCACTTGGGATAGGTGAAGCCCGATTGGAATAATTGAATCACTTGTTGGTACACCACCAACTGGTGGACGAATCGAATGGTGTGAATTCACGGTTTGACAAAGAGGACCCTCAAAAAGGTTTCGATTTTCATTTCGAACAGCCCCGACCAGCGATTTGGCGCCAATTGGTCAAACAACTGGCAAGCAAAAAGCTGCGCTTGACATCACTGTCCTCGAAAAACTGTCGCCACTCTCTTTTAGGACTCCGTGAATCAATTCATCCACGTCTCCCCCAGAAATTCGCTCAGAAGCTGGGAACATGCGATCTTTCCTAGGTCCTCCAGGGGAGAGGTTCGAATAAGGGTACGATAAGTTTTCTGTTCAGGACGTCTATTTTAGTAGGGGAACCCTACCAACCAAAAAAGTTGGTGAGTAAGGACACTACTGGGGGACCTAGTTTCCTTTCCGTTCCTTGCCTAGGGGCCCTCTTAGAACCCGAAATCAACCCGACCCCCCAAGCAAAGGTACAGCACATCCGCCTGGAAGTCCTTGCCCGTGTCCTGGCGGCTCCGATTTCGAACAGTTCCCCGACGGGAATTCACCAAGGTGTGTAATTTCGTTTTATAGAGTAAATATAAGAATGCATATTCAATTTTAGGATCCTATAAAACAACCAAAATAAAATCAAAACAATTAAAAAAACAAAAAAAAAAAAACAAGAGATGGTGTCCCTTTTTGGGGCTCGGTGAAAGGAAACCGGAGAACGAACAAAAAACGCCTTCCCAGGGGTGGTCCAATCTTTAAAAGAAAATCCCCGCGCCGCGCACCGAATTTTTCGGCTGAATTCAGAGGACCGCCAGGGCGGGGAGGCGCCCCCCAGGAAGTCCATTCAGCGAAAGACCAGCGAGCGATGCGAGCGCAGCCTCTCGGTGGCCTCAACGATCCGTTGCTTGAAGTTTGCCATCCCTTTGCGGACATGCCCCCGGGCAAAACAACAAATATTTTTCCAGTATTGATAGATTCCCGCTAAAACCCACCAGGGGAAATCAACCAAGATTCTTAAGCAAATGGAAGTCATACCATCGCGCAAGGCGAGAACCTGACAGGGTGGTCAGTAAGCCTTCTTATGTTGATATCATGCTGAGCCTTGTCCTTTTGCTGCCTGCGTTACCCAAATAGAGCAAATTGCAAACCACATCTAGTCGCACAATGAAATCCCCCAACGGAAGGTTACTCGAACCTTCTTGATCAGTTTACAAGCAAGATGCCATTTTCATGAACCCAAAGGTGCAAACACTTACTGCTGGTCGCGTGTAGGAGGGTCAAACCATGCCGCCTTCTGCCATGCCCGGGAGCTACACTTAAACCCTAGGCATCGCCTCCATTGCATCCATGCACACCTTTGAAGCTTCTGTTCACATTGGCATGTGCGGAAACAAAAACTAAGACGACCACACAAAAAAGAGACAACGACAAAACAAAAAACGACAGCAACAAAACAAGCAAGAACATGCGGCCGCAAAGAAGTTTCGTGGCTTCATCATTTCCCCCAACCGGATCCACCTCAGCGCAGGCCTCCCCCTGCGCCTGCACGCTGGCGTGAGGTTGCGCGTAAAGCGAAGAGACAGGGAGATTGGAAGGGATTGGTCCAACTCAAGCCCGACCTTTTCGATCACCCGCCTTGGCCTATGTTAGTTTTCGTTAAACACAAAATGATGACGGGAAGCGAACACCAGCGTGCCCAATCAACAATACATCGCTGAGAGGAAGCGAAAACAAAACGTGCTCTGGCAGAGTCCCTTCCCGGCGCTGACCAGAAATGTTGACTGAGTGAACTCCGCTGGTCTGGAAGAGGTACATGGAAGCAGGATGAACAAAAACAAAGCGATTCTTCTACAAAGGGCCGAAGCGATCCACAAACCGAACCCCATGAAGATGTGTTTCTAGCCCACCCAGCACTCAGTTTCTGAATATCTGCGCGCACATCACAAGTTGGTTCGCTAAGAATATGATAGAAGGCACCCAGTTGAGGCAACTCCAGGAACTCAAGTAGAACCTTAGCCAGCTGCCAGGCAGAAAGCTGGTGGTCCTCCGAACGCGACGACCATCTTGCCAATCCAATGTGATGCCAATTGCTCACCACGTCCACTCTCCGGAATTGCAGGTCTTCAAATTTAGGCCAATCCCCGCCAAAAACATCTGCCTGTTGACCTTTTGAACCGCACCAAAAAGGCAGTGACCCTCAAAAGAAAGAATCACCTTTGAGCAGGTTTCACTAGTTGGACCAGGCAGAAGGGTTGCTCATTTCTCAACGCACATTCCTCCATGGGCAACCATAGAAGCGGACGAGCGGCTTGTGGAGGACTCGCGTTTTTCCTTTTGGGGAAGCTGTCCTTTGATTGGCTAAGTACTGCCAGCGCCTGCTTGGGCGAACCAATGCTGATGCCGGCCTGGCAAGCAGAACGTGATTGGTATCCCAGAGTCTCGCATTTGCTGATGGGGGGATCGCCGTTTGGCACTTGACGGGGAACCACAAGGAGACCAGCTAATTTGGGCGACCCTAATGTGACAAACACCCCATAAGGGCTCGAGGAGAGTGAGATTGTTCTTAAAACCAAAGTCATGAGAGTCGGAGCGACATGATAGACATTGTTGGCGCCTCGTAATATGAAGTTGAAAAAAAGGTAAGCGCATTTGCGCCCCCTCAAACAGAGTTGGCGCAAATGAGATCGAGATCCCGAACAGGGCATGCTTTGTGCTAGCACACAACAAAGAACGCAGAGGTCCACTGGAACCCCAATGGAAAACCACCCTCGCAACAGGGACAGTGTTTGGGCTGTCTGCGTGAACTTTGGGTTGGAACCCGCAGAACCCGTATCAACCCGACAAAAAAGTGAGGGACCTTGCTCCACACCAAAAAAAAACGGGTCCCCGAACATTGATTCCAACCGTGCCCCTTGCCGGTCACCAAGTCATTTCAAGCGACCTTTCCCCACAAACCCGACGACCAACAACTCTGGGCAATCAACTTGCTGGAAGGCACGCGAAACCGGTGAGACCTCTGTGCAACTACATGGAACTACATACATATGCAATTCAACTGTATTGCGGGGGGGAATACATGTATATATATATACATATATTTTGCAGCTCCAGTAAACCCATGCGAGGAAATTAACATCTCAGACTGCACTGATAACCAGGAAGCAGCCGCTGCGATGAAATGAGAACATTGAGCTGGGGAGTCACGAGTGCAACAATCACGTGAAAAGTTCTGCTGCGCGAGTGTTCACACCAAGGCGTGGCAAAAGCAGGAAAGGGACCCCGGGTCGCCTTCGTTGTTCTTGATCATGCGCAGTCTGAACATGTGTGTCGTACAGATATATATATATATATATATATCTACATATATACATACATGTGTATATATGTTCCAGGCTTCCTTTTGCCCCCCCCCCCCCCCCGCCAATGGTCACGCTCAGTCAAGAAGGTGTGTGACCGTACAACCCCCCCGCCCCCCTCTAAGATGGGTGGGGGAGGTCCATGGTTCTTACGGGAGAATGGTAGCACAGTGTGACCGCCTTTAAGATGGATGGGGGTTGGGGTCCACGAAAGGTAGCACAATGTGACCATGGTTCCAACACCGCCCGCCCCCCTGTGGGAATGGGGGTTGGGGTCTATAGTAGGCAGCAAAGTGCGTTTGCCACTGGCGCGTTGCAGCGCACTTGGTTAGCACTTGGCTGCGGCGCTGCAAGCCACAAACTGCGTCGTGGCATCACGGTTGGTTCAGGGTTGGTTTACAGTGGGTTTAGGGTGGATTTGGGGTTTGGGTTGATTTACGGTTAGGGTTGGGGGTGGTTTGGTTTAGGGTAGGATGTTGCGAGAGGTGCTGGGTGCTGGTTCACAGGGTGAAAGGGGTGTGAGTCTGGGACCGAAGCTGCAGGGCACGGTACTGCGGTACTGGACAGCATCCCCAGCACTGCCAGCATCATCCCCATGATGCAAATGATGCGGGGAAGGGGGGGGGGGGTTGGCAGCCTGGGGACTGGAACATAGATATATATATATATATATGTATACACATGTACATCTACACTTATCTGTATATATATACAACATATGATATTGGCACCTGCGTCTACCTTAAGGCGCTCTGTTTCGATTCGACCCCTGGGCGTCCTCCGTCAAAGCGGTGCGCAGCTGCGCGGCGGAGCGCTCCGCCGAGGCCAGGAAGGTGGCCTCGAGAGCTCGCCGGGAGCTCCCGGAGGGCGGCGTGACATTTTGGGCGCCGAGGTCCCGTTCTTTGGCGAGGCCCCGGCCGCTTGTGTGGAGGTTCCCAGCCTTAAAATGCATAGTGCCCATGGTTCGTTTTACCGGCGCGAGTGCAGTTCTCTGATTTCATTACCTAGGTCCGCCAGTCGAGAGGTTAGAATTAGGGTACCAACTTTCTCTGTAGTCTATTTTACTAGGGGAACCCTCCCCCGGAACTGGGGGACCCAGTTGGGGTGGCTTGAAAAGGGAACCAAAGCTTGGAACACCATCTGGGTCCGGAATTTTAAAGACCCTATGATAAGGGATCTAGGGATGTACCCCGGAAAAAATAATTACAAAATCGGGAGTCGCCGTTTTTTTGGGCTTTTCGGGGATTTGGAGTCCGCTGCTGTGGTCGAGCTTAGTCTAAGAAAAGGCTTCAAAATCCAAAGCAATTGGAGGCAACCTGAGTCAACCTGAGATTTGTGTCTTGTTCTGATCCTTGGTGCTCCAAGAAATGTGTTTTCTGGCTTCATCTGAAAGACTCGCCGTCCTGTTGGATGGGGCAAGGGAATCTAAAAGGACCCCCCAAGACAAACATTTTTCCCTTGGCCAAACGCACACATTGCTTTTGGCCAGGCAAATGACAAGCCATGAAAGGAACTTGTTCAGAATTTCAGGCAGTGAGCCCAAGTCTGAACTAAGGTCAGGATCAATATCTGTGAGCAACTCCAGATCGTTTCCCAATACGGTGGAAGTGAGCGCACCACGCAGAGTCAGCGGTGACAAAGATGCTAATTGTCTTGCTTCAGAGGCTCCAAATTCACGGAAGGAACGAGAACAGAGGCTTCGATCCCGAAAAATGACTGAGACAAGGAAGATGTTGTGGGTTCCATGCCTGCAAAACAAAGAAGAAGAAGAAAAACGCGTGATGCCTACATGCCTGGGTTGCATGCTGCAACTCCTCCCTAACGAGTTCTGTCTCGATGCCTCCCTGAAGGCCAAGAATCAAAGGCGGTCGCAAAGTTGATGGCGATGCGAGGAAGAATGTGCATGTTGTGTGTGTGTGTGCGCGCAACTAATAGTCGAATATAGGTCAAACATAATAAGATGTAAAAATCAGCATGAAATATTCTAGTCCACAATGAGTCAATATTTGATTTAGCGACAAGTTTGGTGTTAAGCAACTTTGAACGAGATACTCTTTGCCAAGCCCTCTGCGTGGGTTCCGACAGCTATGGAAAACTGGCACAGAAAAAAACGACTGGTCCAGAAACTCTTGAAAACAAACCCGAAACAGGTACCCTCACAAAGCACAGGTCTGATGACAGCAGCGATACGAAACGTCAGCATGGGCGACTTGGCCAGTGCCGATGCTCTAGGCCGCTACTTTTTGCCCATCCAATGGTTCCGTATATGTCGTCTTCAAACAGCACTTATGCCAAAGGGTGGCCAAAAAGGAACAGATACTCAGGAAACCATCGTGCGATTTCTACAACAATTCAAACACCCGAAGGACCTACATCTCTCGCTGGCGACTCCCGCCCTCGCGGGGTGGGAGGGTGGGACTTGCCGGAAACACCCTGTTCAGTCCACAGGCATGAGACACAAGCCCAAAACAAGGCGCCCATGGCGGCGCCCATGGCAAGCGAGCCCACTCAACACAATCAGAGACAGCCTCCGTCCGCAAAAACCTATCGCCCACATTGCCGAGAATCGGAATGCTTCGCAGCGAGCAAGCTTCAGTTGGCCACTCACGACCGTGTGAGCATCCTTTCTCATTGATCCAGCTGAGAAAGGTGAACATGTGTGAGCAGCTACCACTTCACGCATAAAGCCCCAGTCTGAGGCACATGGCGACCTCAGAGATGCCCTCTCGTGCGGTTTCGCAAATAAAAGAGTCTGGATAGACCGGAGGCTTCCGCGCCATTCTCCAAAGAGAGGCTTGGCCGAGCTGAGTAGAAGCGTTGCTGGCAGTTGTGTCACTGCACAAAAGGCGGCCCTCGTGATCGAGGTTCCACAAAAAGCCCAGCCCAACGGCAAGCGACACGAAGCCACAAAGCCACTCCGGGAGGAGCTCAATCACAAAGGAAGCCACCGGCGTCCAAAGGGACCAGGTTTGTTGACGTAGGGCCCCAATGGCACCAGGCAACCCGCCGAGTGGCTTTGACGGCTGAGGACCATCTTTCTGCCTGTCCCCCAAAAATCCACTGAGCCAGCCAGACTCTGAAATGGACACAGTTGATGTGAAAACGATCCAAGAAGAAGAAATATGCGCGCATGTGTCAAAATGGTTTCCCTTTAAACCAACCCGAAAAGTGCACCTTTCGCCTCAACAAAAGACAAACAACCCACCGCGGGACCCTGTCTCGCCCCAAATTTGGGCTCCGCGCCAGCGTGGAGTTTCTGGCTCTCAGTTGCTCAGCCTCTCGCTGGATCCTGCACGCAAAAATTGGAGCGACCGATCTGCCAGCTGTCTCGGGTGCAACGTCCTGTGTTACGATGGCAATACAGGAGATATGGCTGTGGATCAAGACCCTGTACCCCTGGTGAACATCAAAATAGGTGGCAAATGGATGTTCATCCACCCCAAAATGGAGGAGCCATAGGCTATGGCCCATGGCCATATCTACACATTGGGACGGACACTTCGGCTACGCCTTGGCAACGTGGTTTCTCCTTTCGAGAATCCTGAGAATTCGAATCATGTCCCCCTAAAACAAACTCTGAGAAATGTTAGTAGTGGGGTCCCCCGGCTTTTGGCCAGAACTGGTTTCGATAGCAAAACAGTGTTCAGAATGCAATTGTTGAGTAAGACCTTATGAAGGACCTCTCCCGCAAGGCAACCCATTAGTTTGAGAGAGAAAAAACAAACAGCTCAAGATACAACTTTTGAGATTGAGTAAGATCTCATGAAGGGAACCTAATCGAGGCTTCAATAAGTGTGAAAAAAAGCGCTCAGAATACAACCTTTGAGTCAGACCTTCTGAGTGGAACCTAATGGAGACCCTTATCGTAAAAGCCTCTCCCGCTCAGGTGGCCCCGATTGAAGCACATCTGGGGAGCTTGTCCGAGTTCACCTGGTTTCCAGAGAGTTTGGTATTGGTTTAGTATTGGCTATGTTACAATTAGTATTGGCAATCTTTCGGGTCGGGTGGAGGGGTTGTTAGTCTTGGAGGCCCGCTTATAAACAGGAAGAAGGGATTGCTCTTTGGTGGCTCTTTGGTCTGCGCTTACTCTTTTGTTGAACTTAGACACAAATCGTGGAATTTGGGACGCCAGAATGAGGAGGCCATCCGGTAACCTCTCACGCGGGCTGATGAACAAAGCTTATTGACAGAAATTCATTGCTGAAGCATGGATGTGCAAGCCCTGCCACCGAACCCACCTGATGAAGCCTCGGGGGAAAAAAAACATGTCAGCTCAGAAGTGATGCCCATTGAACCCCATACGAGCAAACCCACGAATGGGCAACCCTCACTTTAACGCATCTCTGGCAACAGGCTTGCCAGGTTGCTCATGCAGGTGTGTCTTTAAAAAGACGGGGACCCCAGAACGGATTTCGGCCTTCCCTTTGGTTTCCATTCACTGCAAGTCCTGGACTGCTCCGCATGGAGAACCTCGATCTCCTAGCCAAACTGAGACGGGGCGCGCTGCACAAGCAAGCGGGTGATCAGGTAACGTCTAGCTGCGCTGTTTCTGCCATATGGCTGTGGGTCAAAATTAAACCACCAGGGGACCGCAGGCTTTAGTCCATGTTTCCTTTCAGGGCTCGATTACCTACCGGCGCTTTTGTGGGTTGCACAGCCAGAAGCAAGGCACACTGAGTTGTGAGTGCCTGATCCCTGGCCGTCCCGACTCCGCTGCGACATCGCCGACTGCAAGTGCCACATGCTTGCAAAAGGAAATCTGCTTGCGGCCACCGACTGCAAGTGCCACATGCTTAAGCCCGAGTATGTTGTTGTCACAGCTGGCAAGCTTACCCCCGCCCCAAAGCGCCTTGGACATCTCGGCCATTTTCTTCTGCGCGACCTGCGGGTCAAATGGCCGCATGCGAGCTGCGAGGCTTTGCCGAAAGGGCCAAGTCAAGATTTACCGTGACCCTACTGAGGGTGGTCTGAGACAGTTGTGGCAAATTATCCTCTGGGGCCACCAACATGGAACCTGCCAAGGGGTCCTGGAAGACTTATTTTTCCTTTGAAACAGACCCTCCCATGAATTCTGTGTTGGACAGAAGGGTAAAGAGTGTCTTGGTGTTCGTGGAACATTCAGACCTTCCAAGGACGAATTGCAACCTTGAAATTGGGCTGCCCGTGGTGTCAAAACTGAACACCTCCCTATCTTGACAGTCTCTGGAGGGACTTCTCCCATCCCTTCGAACAAAAGTAAAAAATCGCTGGCCGCAAGCTGAGTTTCGACTCCCTTCCTTGCGTCAAATATCTCCCTCTCTCTACGCCTCCTCTCGCTGCATATGTTCGTATATGTATATATATACATACATACATACATACATACATACATACATACATAACATAACATAACATAACATAACATAACATAATATAACATAACATAACATAACATAACATAACTAACATACATACATACATACATACATACATACATACATACATACATACATACATTACATACATACATACATACATACATACATACATACATACATACATACATACATACATACATACATACATACATACATACATACATACATACATACATACATACATACATACATACATACATACATACATACATACATACATACATACATACATACATACATACATACATACATACATACATACATACATACATACATACATACATACATACATACATACATACATACATACATACATACATACATACATACATACACATACATACATACATACATACATACATACATACATACATACATACATACATACATACATACATACATACATACATACATACATACATACATACATACATTACATTACATTACATTACATTACATTACATTACATTACATACATACATACATACATACATACATACATACATTACATACATACATACATACATACATACATACATACATACATTACATACATACATACATACATACATACATACATACATACATACATACATACATACATACATACATACATACATACATACATACATACATACATACATACATACATATACATACATACATACATACATACATACATACATACATACATACATACATACATACATACATACATACATACATACATACATACATACATACATACATACATACATACATACATACATACATACATACATACATACATACATACATACATACATACATACATACATACATACATACATACATACATACATACATACATACATACATACATACATACATACATACATACATACATACATTACATACATACATACATACATACATACACATACATACATACATACATACATACATACATACATACATACATACATACATACATACATACATACATACATACATACATACATACATACATACATACATACATACATACATACATACATACATACATACATACATACATACATACATACATACATACATACATACATACATACATACATACATACATACATACATACATACATACATACATACATACATACATACATACATACATACATACATACATACATACATACATACATACATACATACATACATACATACATACATACATACATACATACATACATACATACATACATACATACATACATACATACATACATACATACATACATTACATTACATTACATTACATTACATTACATTACATTACATTACATTACATTACATTACATTACATTACATTACATTACATTACATACATACATACATACATACATACATACATACATACATACATACATACATACATACATACATACATACATACATACATACATACATACATACATACATACATACATACATACATACATACATACATACATACATACATACATACATACATACATACATACATACATACATACATACATACATACATACATACATACATACATACATACATACATACATACATACATACATACATACATACATACATACACATACATACATACATACATACATACATACATACATACATACATACATACATACATACATACATACATACATACATACATACATACATACATACATACATACATACATACATACATACATACATACATACATACATACATACATACATACATACATACATACATACATACATACATACATACATACATACATACATACATACATACATACATACATACATACATACATACATACATACATACATACATACATACATACATACATACATACATACATACATACATACATTACATACATACATACACATACATACATACATACATACATACATACATACATACATACATACATACATACATACATACATACATACATACATACATACATACATACATACATACATACATACATACATACATACATACATACATACATACATACATACATACATACATACATACATACATACATACATACATACATACATACATACATACATACATACATACATACATACATACATACATACATACATACATACATACATACATACATACATACATACATACATACATACATACATACATACATACATACATACATACATACATACATACATACATTACATACATACATTACATTACATACATTACATTACATTACATTACATTACATTACATTACATTACATTACATTACATTACATTACATTACATTACATTACATACATACATACATACATACATACATGCATACAACAATTAAATATAACATATGCAGGTGTATACGTTATTCATTACCGTACATATCTGTGAGATGTATTGTGTTTTTTCAGCTGAACCTGGCCTGGCCATAGCTCGGCGTTCGTCTTGGGCCATCCCCATCCTCGCCCTGCAACGCCCGGTGTGGTGGTGGTCAAAGCGCTGGGATGTCGGTCTAAAACCTCCAAGCAACCGCTGCCTTTTGGACAGCACGTGCCAAGGGGATTTTGAGTAACAACAGCTGGGGGATGTAACAAAAGGATCTTGGTTGCAGTAAAAGTAGGTGTGGGCTGCCGGGTCATGCTTCCCGATGTCCTTTATGGTTGTCGCATATTAAAGGGCTTGACCGTCCCTGCGGCAAAGTCTCTCTCTTTTCTACATGGCGCGTGTGACTGACCCATCCCCAACAAGGCTCCGGTTCACAAGGCCCCCGTTGGTCGGCAAGGCTGAAAACCAATGCAGGCGAGTAAGTACACATTTCTCAGCTTCCCTTGTTGGCTTTAAAGGGAATCTATCACTGGACATATCTTCTCATTTCTTCCAGGGGGCGAAATAAGCCAATGGGCGTCTAATATCAGCTTCCCTCTAACTGGTTTGGAGCCCGGTGGTTTGGTGATTCAGGAATGGCTTTCCCGTTTACCACCCGCGAAAGCCAGGGGTTCAAATCCCCAAACCAACCCAAGCACCAATTAAGGCCATTTTGGACTGCTTGCGCATGCAAGTCTGCATGTGCTGTTTGCACTCGCTTTGCTTATTGTGTTGAGGTCCTGCTGAATAACATGTGTTTCACGGCTAACGGATGTGTAAGGAAGATGGTTGAAAAGGACATCCTGTTTAAACGTAACATTGAATACGTACTATGTGAATGATAATGTAAAACAATACATTTGGATTATGTCCGCTTTACAATACGTTTACATTTAGCTAGGAATTGCGTAGGACTTGATAAACATGTCAAGTACATGTCTACAAGGACAGAAATTCAGAGGTCCCAAATTTGAAAATTTTATGATTGACATCCATTTAAGCTCGGCTAGCGGCTAGAAATTGAGCAGAATGTAGTAAGTAGAGTTTCACAAAATCGTGTTCTACCTGGCCCCCAGCACTGTCATAGTCACAAACACTGTAAAGTGTGTACCAAATGCACATCTCCACCAAAGGCCGACTCTAACATTCAATTAGAATTGTATAAATTATATCTTAAAACTGGTTCCTTGCCGGATAGAACTTTACAATTCGTGACAATTCAAACACAACGTATTCCAGGGTTAGGAGTTCCCTTCCGGCAAACAAAAACACTGGTCAGCCCTGCCAAAACCAACTACCCGCAAACACTCGATAAAACCAAACAAACTTTCTCCCAGAACTCTTGGCAGAGTGACAGGCTACTTCTAGAAAGAGTGCCTGAGGATTGTGTTTGTTTGTTCTTCCTAGTTTATTTTGTTTTCTCAAGGTGTCTTTTGATGACTGCTTTGGTCAGGCGTGATCCAATGGAAAGAGTGTCTGGCCATGTTGCTTGGTTATTTTGTTGATTTATTTATTTTTGGCTCTGTCGAGTCTCTTTTTTGGAATCACGGCAATGCATTAGAACAACAGAAAAGACATATCACACATGCCTCAAAGCAACAAACAAAGGGCACAACTTACACAGGTCCAACAAGCACGAACACATGCACTGCCGCAGTCCCCTTTTCTAAAGGAAAGCTGTGATGCACATGTGAGCTCACCTTTGGTTACTCTTTGCTTCAAAAGCTCTTTGGTTACCCTTGGGTCCTTAAACCACTTTGTTTCAATAGCTGCAAACCAGGGCTGTGGGAAATGGAATCCACTTCTGTGATACAACAAAAAGGGGCCTAACCCCAAAGACTAACCCTCCATATCAAGGGGGAGAGTTTTTTTGTATCACAGAAGTGGTTGGATAAACCCCGAGTGATCCCACAACCCTGCAAAACCGCTTCTCTTGGGCCCACGGGGCCCCAAGGCCTCGGGTGCTTCCTCGTCCGGCAGCACATCCACCTCACCCGAAGGCCCCGAAGGCCCCGACGGTCCCGAGCTCGGAGCTTCTCGTCCCAGCCACTGCTTTGTGGCTACCCGACTTGGCGTTAAGCGGACGTGGGAAAAAAAGCAGTTCGGGGGGCTGGTGGCTGGCTTGTTTTGTGTGTGTGTTGTGAAACTTGGCCCTCTCCATTGAGATGGAACTCACACAATTACGGATCACAGAGTTAGATTGCCGTGGCAATTGCCGTGGCAATTGCCAGTACGACATGATCCATCAAACACAATGCCAGTACTCATATTGTCAGCGATTTGCCTTCTTAGTCACTACACTCGGGTGAAGCGAGAAAACACACCTATTTCCCTTTGCTTACCCACATACGCGCCATCTACTTTCACTCTGGGCTCTTTCGTGAGCACCAAGGTAGACTTCTACTCAGGGCTCGTTGCTTGCCCTCCCCAAAGCGAGCCTCCAGCAGCGCCAGCACGCTTGAGAGGACCTGCCGAAGTTCTTCGAAATGTGCTGACACGGTCCCTCCGGGTAGCTGGTGTCCTTTAACGTTTCCATTTATCACATATCCAAACAGCGTCCCCGATTTTGCGAAGCCCCCAAATGAACAAGCCCAAAACAGATCTGGCCCTTCTTGTCGAAGGGTATCCTTCTCAGGTTGGTTCAACTGGCAAAAAGGAAGGCCGCAATTTCGGCTTGGTTCCCACGATTTTTAACACAATGCCCATATCCTCGAGATCCCTTAAGAAATGGATGTCCCAAATGTCCCGTTCCGTTGCATAAAACCAGCTGGAGAGTGCAGGCTGCGTTCCATGGCTCATTTGTTGATACGCCTGGAACAAAGTTAACTATATGTACAGTGATTCCCCCTAAAACAAGAAGATGAATGACACCTCAAGGCAAAATTCACAGCTATTCATGGCTCATAGAGGTGAAGAGTTATTCCACCACGTCGTGGTAATTCCTGAAGAAAAAAAAAGAGATTCGGCTTCCATTCGACCGCAGAAGCATCCCATACAAAGTCAGTCCATGGCCTCCGAGCCCAGCTCTTGGGGCCTTGGGGCCTTGCCCGCGCCCCGCCAGCCCCGCGCCTCGGCGTGCTGCTGCATCTTCTCGTCCTGAACTTGAGGCCGCGAAATCTGCATCCGGAGGGGTGTCGATGTTTGTTGTGGCTGAAGGCACCCATGTGATTTGTTTGTTTCAGCTGCTGGTCCATGTTGTGGTGGTTTAAAGGGAAACCAAAAGAACAATCACCATTTTCGGGGGGGTCCCCCAAACAAACACGCATATCCTACTTCAACCTTATGCAACAACAACAAAAACACTTGAGACAGTGAAGGCGGACCTACATCCCCTTGCCAGGTGCAAGCCCAGATCAGCCTTGAGTGATTTACAGGCTCATTGACGGTGCTCTACTGGGTCTGCTTTATGCACCTCCCCGAGTACCAAGAGTCAGAGTCTGGGGCCTCTGGGGGGAGAGAGGGCCTGTGTTGGACTTGGACTTGCAAATGCCGAAGTTAGTCTTGAAAAGCTGTATTCTCAGATTTCCAGTACTTCATTTAGAATTGCCACTTCAGAAGTTAGTCCAAGGTTCGATCTCAGATTCCCGGTACTTCATTTAGTATTGCGAATTCCGAAGTTGGTATTGCCAAATTTGATCTCAGGTTCCAGATGTAGTATTGGCAAGTATTTACTCTCAGATGCCCAACTGTCAAATGAACCACCGCTTAATAATAAGGCTTTCATCTTGGACCTTCACACCCACTCAAAAAAAACAAAAAAACATTGAAACACGCATATTGTTCGGAGGATCTGGGGCTCCTGCGGGGTTCCCCTTTGTGTGACTGCCTGGCCTTGTTTCGTTCTTTCTGTAGAAAATGGTCTAAAACATGTCATGGCGCGGGACTTGGAAAGCCGATGGTCCTGATCTACCCAACGCCTCGGGGCTTAAAGAAACCACCCGTGCCCCGCGGAGCTGGGGCTTTGATCTCCTCGGCCTTAAACTGCCTTTCGAAACTTGTTCGGGACAGAACAACTTTCGAGCAAGAAGACCCTCGAAACAGTCGCAAGATTCTGAATTCGGACAACAACTTAGCTGGCGGTAAAAGATATGGACCCCTTTTTGGAGCTCTAACTTAGCTGGCTGTAAAAAATATGGGACCTCTGTTCAAGGCAAGCACATAAACCATGGCCCAAAAGGAGGACCCATTCTTGACAACCCCCCCAGCTATAACAGCGGGTGCACCTGTTGACACGCGGAAGTTGCACTTCCAACATACCGGTGTCCGACTGATGGGGGAGACTCAAGATGCCACACTTGGTGGTGTTTTTGTCGAGGCCCTGTTTACCTTGGCTCAAAGGGAATCCAAACGGAACATCGAATCCATTTTGTGAAGTGCTGATCTATATTCCTGGCCCCCAAAAAGGGTAACTTTTCTCATTTATGTCATCTTTTTGGTGGTTTTCTCCAATGGACATCCCATGTAGAGGGTCTTTTGATCAACCCCCGTATGTTGGGGGTCCAACGCCCTCTCAGATCGCCAGCGGTCATGGGCAAAAAACAGAGGGTATCCCTTTTTGGTTGGTTGAGGTTCAAGGGGAACCCTTCCCAAGGGGGCGGAATCCTTTTTTGGTTGAGGCTAAAGGGGCACCCTTCCCACAAAAAAATGACTAAAACATGGGGGGGAATGAATCCACTGGTTGCAACTCGGCCCTCGAACTTGACGAGCCGAGTGAATCGAACTCGACACATCTGAGCGCCAGGTCCTCCTGACTGCTCGTGGCATCGCGCATCACCCGGAGGAGCTGACGGAAAAGACAAAAAATCGGATCGGCCCGCGCGCGGCCCACGAGTTCGGCGAGTTCCGCCGGCCCGAGGCGAGCAAATAGGTCTGCTTGAAACCAACTTTGGTCCGACAAGAACAGGCAACCCCCCCAGATCTTTCCGGCGCCTATGCCTACCGAAACGGGATCTCGCGGAATTTTCCCCGGAGCCTTGGTGGGGCAAAAATCAGAAGGCCCATGGGTGGTTTTTTTTGGGCAGCTGTGGAGATACGTGGGATGGAGCTCCAGTGTGTTACGCATGTCTTCAATGTGCGAAACAGATCCTGATTCAGCACTGCCACAGGTCCACCCACCCGGCATGAGGGAACCAGGGGAAGTCCATGGGAGCCTAAGCAAGCCTCCTGAGGCCACTCCACTCCTGAAAAGGAAGCCGTTTCGGCCAGCGGCCACGACGGGACTATGCAAATATACCTGGACCCTCAAAAAGGAACATTTTTTTGCTCATTACGTTATTTTTGGAGCGGAAATTCCGAAATCTACGCGGAAACTGCCAATTTCATGTTCCGCACCCATTGTGTGGCAAAATCCTGCAAATTTGGCCACCAGAAATGCGCGGAAATCGGCGGAAAATGCGCGGAAATCGGCGGAAAATGCGCGGAAATCGGCGGAAAGCCCAAAACCATTTTTTTTGAACATGGCTGGTCGAACCGAAATGTGTTTTTTTTTTGGTAAATGAGCGTGTTTTCCAACAATGCGCGTTGTTTTTGCTTTTTAAGGGAAATGTTAGGAAATTGTTCTCAAAGAAGATCTAGGTATGCAAATAAATCTGGGACGTGTCGTTCTTTTTTGAAGGGTACCCCCCCCCTTTTTGGAAGATGGTCTTACAGGGAAACCAGAAGGAAAACTGAAGCCATTTGGCTATGAATTTTAATAAGGGATCCTTTGGTGGACATCATTTAGGTGGGGATTCATGTCCATCAATCACTTTTGAGGTGGTTCCCTATTAAACATTCATGGAGGTGCTCTTCCCCCCAAGTAAAATTTGCGGTCAATTCTTGAGCTACCTCTCCAAGCCAGCGCCTGCCTCGACCACAGGCACTCCTGGAATGGTGGCCCCCAGTGGCATCGTGACCTCAAAGCGCAGAGGATCTACATGCGCTGCAAACAGAAAAAGGAGGGAACCCACAAATGGAGATGCCCCCCCCAAAATAGGAAAAACGTTCCTCTGGTGATGGCTGTTTGGATTCGGAAACTCATCAAGGAGCTTGCAAGACCCAATGTGATATGGGAACCCGCAAGTGTGCTTGCCCAGTGCTCTTGCCACAGCTTGCCCTCCAACTAGGGGCATGCCAGGCTTCACATCACACTCAATCACTGAAACCGACTGAAGCAACTGGCTCTTGAGCGAGCGCGTGCGCGTGTGGAACTTTTCCTGAACTCAACCCCAACCAGCAAGCGCTTGGCGAACTCCCAAAAGAGCCCGCGGGAAAGGATCGCGCCTCCATATGGTGCGCTTTCGTCACCATCTGGCCTTCGCAAAACCCCACGCGCGTAAATCCCCGCAACACTGCTGAACCGTGGAATGCCCGACAAATGATCATTGATTCTATCAGTTGCTGGTAACCAAGCGGCTCATGCGATCATAACCTACCAGCTAGCAAAGCTTTATGCTGATGAATCTCTCCTAAACATGACTTCCATTGGCTCTGATCCTCTCTTCTGCCTGCAAAATGGCCTTCGATGATCACCTGGCCAGGGAGACATGCTTCCAGCCAGTCCAGGAGTCGACATGGCTGCAATCTGCGCATGCGCTGATCATTTCACATTCCCCACATTTTGCTGCCATGTGCAAACTAAACTCACAAAAATATCAGCCATCTTTTTTCCAATCTGTCCCACGCCATATCTGTCCCACTCACACAAATATCGGCCGCCGACAATTCGAAGAACCGGGCAGGATGAAGCAGCTTGAAACCCAAAGCTTGGTGCTACTTCCTCCTGGCAGCTGCTGGCCCTGTCTAGAGGCGTTCAAAAGGCGAGCCTGCAGCAAACAAGAAAGCACACTCCAGATGGAGTGATCCAAAGATACGTCCAAGAGAAGCCATTCTTGCGAAGGTCACTTTGCGCTTCTCTGTTCAATCCCAAGCTTGTGCGGTTGTTAATGCTTTGTTGGACGGTGCATGACATGGAGGTGTGTGTCACAAGTTAGACAGTCATTTATGGATTTTCCAACCCACGGCACCGCGTAGAGGGAAAGGTGCTTCTTTGATGATCTAGCATCCCCCAGCAAGTGTTTATTCCACCAACTTGTAGGGAACATGGATGTTCCAAATACTGATAAACAGTTTTTATGATAAACACTATGTTGCTAAACGTATGTATGGTGCACCAACTGCAACGTGTGTTATAAAGCAATGATAAGTAACATGGTCATGTTGTTGGTGTAATGGTGCTTGATAACAATAGGATTTCTGATGCTGCATTTGCCTTTGGTCAGAAGCCCTCTAGCTGGCCTCATTATTTCACCATTGTCAACGTCACCCCCTAAGTGGCAGAGTAAGGGGGACACAACCGCAAAAACCAGTTTCTGACTTCGATAACCCCTAGAAACAGCCAACCTAATTCCCAACAGCAATCAGCTCTTGGGTTTCTAGCTCTAAGCCAGGGGGTGCTAACAAGTTTTCGCCGGGAACTGCCTGGAACCCTGAGCCTCCTGTGTTAGCCAACCTGGGTAGCAATGACCCCAAAAGTGACCTTCGCAAGAAGCACACCCGCGGCGCGAGAGGGTGGGGGAGGCGAACGCCTCACTTCTCCATCCACCTTTGGGCCTCCCCAAAGTCGCTGGCGATGCGCCTGGCCAAGCCGACCATGAGAAAGAACCAACACACCCTCTTCTTGTACTCCCCCTCGAGGGTCCCCCGTGATCACGTGATCTAGTTGCGTTAGATTTGTTCTGGGTCACAAAAGGCCTTCGTTGTTTTAACTTTGTTAAAAGGTATCTGCGAAGCTAAAGGGAAACCACCGAAACCAGCTTCTGACATTTCCCAATGGCCCCAGACCCCGCAGAATGCTTCAACCAACACATTCCAAGAAGCTTCCACCAAAACTGTCCGACTCCACTTCCAAAACCCCCTCCCAACCCCAGCCAACCGGGAGTCAAAACCCGGGCCTTCGCAGCACCTGCGCGCTGTTCCGGGCCTTGCGCATCTCGGGGCTGGTCCAGGGCCGACCCATCCTCGGACCCGGAGGTTGGGAGGGGGAAGGGGAAGGGGGAGGGGGAGGTTGGCTCGTTGTTTTTTGATGTTCCTGAACAATCAAGGGAAACACTGTGTTGGGGTTGCATTTATTGTTGGAGTTCCTTTTTGGTTGGCTTGAAATGAACCACCAAAAGGAAGGGTCACCATTCTGGGGGTCACGCCTTGACGAGCCAGACCGATTTCCAAAAGTCCCCTGAAATAAACACATCCAGATTCCCCAACCCTGACAATCCAATGTATGCACATATCGCCTACATTGGCCGACGCCCGCGTTTTTCAACTACATTGACCGATAAACCCGAATGTAGCCAATTTTTGGGGACATTCAAACCGACAACTTCCGACAAGGGTTCCGACAAGCCTTCCGGCAACAAGCTCGCCTCAATTTCGGCGACTCTATCCGACGACGCCCTCCAACCAGCCTTTTCCAATGCCTTTCCGACCGCTAACTTAACTCACAATGCAGGAAAATACAAAGGCACGCCGCAAATTGCTGTACGGACAAAACTTAAACTGCGAATGACTGGCAACAATTACAGGGCCCAAACAGGGCACATAATGATTCGAGCCAACCCCGGCTATCATTGTCGGTAAATGTTGGTTGCCTGGCATGCAACAGAAGGAATCGACTGGCATAGTGACTGTAGCAGATCCTGATGAGGACTTCCGATTGTAACGTTAACCATTTTGACGGGCTGGCTGGCTTGACGAAACAGTGTGGCGACGAAGCACATGTGCGATAGTTCAAGCTTTTCAGGCCACACCGTGAAGCACATTTCCAGAACTGGGTCACTCTAAGGCAACGCCGGTTAGCAAAGATCACTCAACAAACATAATTATTGCGCATGGAGGACAACAACTCCGTGCAAAACACCTCGCAGCAGGAGATCCTGCCAGCAGTCACTCTCAATAAAACCTATCCAAACGCTGATGGGGGTTGATAACCCCCCAACCAAAAAGGTAAAGCAGAATGATGCTACATCGTCGTTGTCCACAGTTACACAATTTCGTCAACTTGCCCGTGCGTAGCTTAAATGTGTTGCTTCCTGATTGCTTGCAAGCTGCAACCTCTGGCTTTGCGAGCTAAGTTTCTATTATGTTTGATGCGTGCCCACGCAGGGGCCATGGATCATCATGACAAGCTTGTTCGCGGGCCATAAGCCGTCGACCGAAGGCAAGGGGTCAAATTTCCAAGAATCACATCTCCAACCAAATACTTGCTTAACACCACGCCGCAACCCTGTCCAGAGCGCAGCCCATCTTAAAAAGCCCTTGCTGTTCAAAGCAGGTGTTTCATTTGTTTCCAGGAGGCTCACTTTGAAAGCATGCTAGCCTGCTAGCAGTTCCCAAGCACCATTCGAGCGGCAACTGCTTGCCACGCGAAATTTCACTGGTCAGATAGAAATTAAGGCTCTAATCCTGCCATGCCCCATGCCGCAATGCAAAATTCACAGACTTAACAAAAACAGCTTTGTCAAACGAGATGTGCTGGGAAGGGCTCAAGCGGCGGTCTTGAGGAGAACGGATATGACGCAGTCCAAGCCCCATATGTTTTTTTTTTGCAAGGGCTTGGTTTATCGATGAAACCCAACTAAAAAGGGCACGAGTAACATGTTTGCCTAATGATCTCCTTGATTAAACACTCCGAATGGTTTGGGGCATACAGTATTCCATTTGTCCGACAAACGCTTCTCCGCTGATAAGTTCTAGGCCGGCTTGCCAGGTGATACAATCAATCAATCAATCAATATCAATCAAGCCACATCACTTCCAACTCACGGTGCAAACAAAAATCGAGCCTCGTCCGACGTGTCAACACATGAACACAGTCCGGCAAAAAACATCACGCTGTTTCACGCTATTTCACGGTTTTCCGTTAATGTAAGCAAAAATAAGAAGACAATCCGACAACTTTTCACGCCAAATCACGCCAAATCACGGTTTGCCGTTTGCACAAGCAAAGGACAGGAACACAATCCGAGAAGAAGTCACTCAAGAACAACGAAATTTGTCGGGTCATTTACTCCAAATCGCTTGCTAATTTTGGGCATGCAGGTGTGAAGAACATGGTAGGGACATACTTTGGTCAGTCAGGGGGAATAAACGCACCTTGCTGAACTTCTTTTGGGTAGCAACAATAGACACCTGTTGGGCCTTTAGTAGACCAAGCTTTGAATAGGCAAGACTGAGCTTTTTGCATGACTGATGCGATCCCAGAGCTGATGCGAGTAGACAATCCGGATGCCGAGTCTCCAGCACGCCAATGAAAACTGAAGAGCACTGAAGACATGCATGCTAAGCTTGGTGGCTCCTTATCCGAGTTTACATAGCAATCAGTATCGCCAAGCTAATAGTACAGATTGCGCGTGCAGCATCATATATCCCATGCTCAATCGGCAAAACGCCAGGCCTGCCCACGCAATGTAGTCATTAACCTAAACCTACAAATCTGAGCTTAGATATTCATCATCTTGAACTGCATGTGTACATAAAGTCTTGCACATGCGTATATACATAAATTTGCACCTGCGTAACATGTGTATGTCTATGTTTTGCTTAGCGGAAACCGCTTTTTGGTAAAATAAACTTGGAGTTTCTTTTTGGTATGCTTGGACATCTTGCTGCGTAGATTGAGCACGCTTGACTGGCCAACAGTTACTGGGTGGCAGTTGGGAGTCGGCTCGGCAGGCCAATTTGGCTTGGCGCTCCTCATCTCAATCATTCGGCACAGCCAAAAACATGTCCATACTTGCAATCGCGTGTAGGCTGTACTGTTGTAAAATGAATCCCTGGCAGTTGATAGATGGCTGTGCTTTCCAATGCGGCTCAAGGTCGGCAAGTCCGTGCCTTTGGCGCAGAGCATGTTGAATTTGTAAGCTTATCACTTCAAATACGCATAATCCAAGATCAAACCACGTTTACATGGGCAATAGAGCTCGAGGGTGGCTTTGCGTTGCACGGTTGAACAATTTGCGTACTCAATACTTAGAGCGGCTTTCTCACAAGAGTGCACCAACGCTGCACGCACACACAGTCCCATAAGAATTGCCCAAGTGCACGAACAGAATCATTCCTGCAATTGTTGATTTGTTTGTTTGGCGTAGCCTGGTCATACGGAAAAACACTTGCGAGAGTCTGATGGCGAGCTCTCAACCATCGCTAGCTACAAACGTCATCAAATGTCCATGTCAGTAACGCGGTGTTTACATTTGCTGAAGCAAGTGCAAATTAATGAAAGCGAAGTTGCTACACAACAGGGCTTTGGCAAATAGAGCAAGTTAGCAAGCATGATCATTGGACCCATGCAAAACAAATATGCTCAACAAACTCCGCCACATTCGGGTTGAAATTTGACTATCGGACACGAGCCTTGTCAAATCTCATCATTTGCCAGGCCATATTTCGACATTCGACGGGGATTCGGCGAATGTATCATTTTTTTGGCTATATTTCGACAATCCGACAGGGATCCGACGAATGTTGTCGTTTTTTTGCTACATTGCCAATGTACCCCAAAAATTGCTACATTGCAATGTACGCCATATTTGCCTACATGGATTCTCAGGGCAACTAACAGGGGACAATATAACAAAATCTTCAGCAAGTGGACATGTCCTCTTTTTGAGGCTCGGCACCCTTCTTGGGGTTTGGTTCCACGGAAAACTAGGAGGCCGTCCCAAAAAGGTTTCCCTAACCTTGCACAACAGCCAAATGAGCCGTGGTCCGAAATTCTGGCATCAACGAACATGGTAAAATGGAGGGCTCGTTCCGCGGTTTCGGTGGGACACTTCGTAAGTTCACCATGTCCCTCCCAACTATAGACCGGACATTTTGACCCACACCTCGCACTTGCCATGACACAATAATCATCCTTTTGAGCTTCAGCCCTGCAGATCGTCGAGCTTTTGTGATCTCAATTGGGAGCCCGGGGACCGTTGTGGAGATTCTCTGCATGGGAGTTGGTCAAAAGGTCCATTACATGGCATGACCATTGGTTGGAAAACCACTAAAATGATGCGCAATGCAACTAATTGGGGAAAGTTATCCCACTAAATGGAAAAAGTTCTCTACCCATGGTCATTTCCGGGCCGAACGGAACATTGATCAACCCCACATGCATGTGTTGTCCAACAAACCCTATGGACGTGGGTAGGGAGTTGGCCTAGACGAACACGAGGACCCAATAAGAAAAACACTTGTGACGTCGCGTTTAGGGAAGGGGGGAAGGTGTCCGACATGCTGCAGATCCTTGGTGGGTTGGCCATTTTCGGGTTTGGAGAAGCGTTGCTGAAAGTCTCCCATGAGCCATGGTCAGAAATATGCGATTGACGGTGTCTAGTGCCATGGCCATGTAGTGACTATGTATAGCGGCTTTTAAGATTTTGGCGGGCAACATTTGTGGATGTGGTTGGGAACCTTAGGATATGCCATTCGAATCCCCCAAACAAACATCTGTGATTTTGCGGTTCCCCACTGAACTGGGGGGTGCAGGTTTGGTTGTCTCTCTCTTTGCGGACCAAAGGGAACCGGATCAATTTTAAGACACCCCCATTTCGGTCTGTCTGAACCAATTGAGGCCCAAAAAGGATGGTTCGGCTTCCCTTTGACAAACCCCCCCAAAAAAAGGAGGCCTCCAAAATTGACACGCCACTTGCTGTTTTGCCAGGCAGCTCATCCAAGAGGCTGCGCCCGCTGTCGAAGGCTGCGCTCTCTCCCCCAAGGTCCAAGCTCCTGCGAGGGGAAAAACCCATCTGGCTCCTTCCTGAGGGAAGCCCCTCGCCATAGGTGTCCTTTTAGGGAAATAGATGGCCCTGGTAGATTAAACCATATTTCTCTAGCAAAACAACCAAAAAGGACACCATAGCCCCTCGCCTTTGGCGAAAAGCAATGGCAAAGCAAAAGAAGGCCAAACCAGTTTGGGGGGTCCCTAATTTAGGCACGTGTTCATCAAGACCCGAACCCAGGGGTGGCTCATGTTCAAACATTTGGAACCCCCTGAGTTTATCTCCACAACTGGCCAGCATCTTTCCTCCCCGTAGACATGGGCGGGTACCTGCTTCATTTCAAGGGCAGGCAAACGTTTTGATCCACACCCAAGCTTCACAGCCAGAAGCAAGCCAAACAACCCACCATCACGCGCTCTGACTGCGAGACTTGCCCTGGTCGATGGATCAGCTTGATCCGTTTAAAAGCCCCCCCCGCCCCACTAGCTGACGAACAAATTGACCAAAAACGGGCACCTGCTTTGAACCACCCTCCATTTCAGTACGAAGAAGCAACCCAGATGTGCAACCCAGAAGCTAGCCTCGCGAATTGCTCTTGCTTACTACCCTCCATTTCAGGCTTTTTGTTGAACCACCCTCCCTTTCAGGCTACAAAGAAGCCACCCAGCAGCGTTGTGGATGTACCCCTCTTGTCCGGCGCTTTTGCTTTGGAGCCCGGGGCTTTGGAGCAAGTCTTGAAAGAAGCCCCCTGGTCCCTTCCACCCAAACCCGGCGAACCACCAAACGCGGGGTTAGCTGACCTTCGACTTCCAATGGCGTTGTCGCCCCCTGGAAGAAATGAGAACACACAACAAGGGCAAAAACAACCTATTCGTAGTTCAGCACAAGGAAGTAGATCTGAGGAAGAAAAAGAGCTGCCACCGAATCGAATCTTGTTCGCGGCCTGCCATTGACGTTGACCTTGCCCTCATACTGCACTCCCAGCTGCACCCGCGGCTTCTCCCCCCATTCGCTGCCCTTGTAGAACTTCCCCGTGCCGCGCAAGTAGCCTAGGACATGCACGAGTGAACCATCAAAGTGGTACGGTATACCCCCAAAATGGGTGGTTTTCCTTTTGGTGTTCCTTGAAAACCCCTAAAAAGGGGTAGGCTCACAAAATATGTGCACCGGACTGAAATCTAGAGCTCAATGAAGAGTTCATCACTTTTTCCAAGGGTCGGGCCCCCCCCCGCTGTTAGCACCAAGGGGCTGCCACCACCAAACTCCACACGCGGCAGCCTGCATGCTGGGCGCAGTCAAGCTTTCCGCTATTGGCAAATGAATCACGGGCAGATTACAATCATTGCAGATAAGCCCTTCCCTCCGGGAGGGGGCCGTTGCCTTGCAGTAGGGCAATTCTCTCCTCAGGGGATGACTGTGTTGCTGTCGGGCGGCGGGAATTAACCTGACTACAAATACCTCCTGCGGCTTTTACCCATTGGCCGTTACCAGCGCTACGTCTTTGCGCCTATATGGATAGCCCTCTGAGTCTGCTGATATGTTATATCTCGCACAAGGCCGCGGCCCGGACCCATGGGAGTCAGCTACAATTTTGGGGAGACAACTATGTCGGGGTACTACCCGGAGACCTACAACGTCGGGGAGGCATTTCTTGCCGCCAGGACTGCCAGGTGCACTCTTGGTGCACCCTTTGTTTGGCCTTTAGCAGTCATTGTGACTGCTCGCCTTTGGGAGCCTTGCGGCGACGGGGCCTGCTGGTGCTAGCAACTCAGTAGGCCTCTGCATGTTTTTTTCTGCTCGTGCAGTCATTTTTGGGCGTACAGTTTCCAATTTTGACATGTCATGCTCGTTCACGGGCGACGATACTCTGCTGCTGCTGCTGCTGCTGCTGCTGCTGCTGCAGATAAGCCCTTCAAACCCAACAAATGGATGGCTCCCCCAAACAAAAGGATGGCTCCCCCCAACCAAGGATCCCTTCAAGAACAAACAAAGGAGGGCGCCCCTCAAACAAAAAGACCTTGAAACCAACATACCGCAGGAATCCTTATGAGAGGCGAGCCCGTTTACAGGTGAGCTCGTCATACCATCTCCACATTGCACGAAGGAGTCCATGACCTGATGAAGGAAGCCTATTGAATATTTGGATGAGCCACCTACCAACTGGTGCTGATCGCCATGAATGGACAAAACTCGTCCACCCACAAATTTTGGCTGAGTTAAATAGGAACAGTGTACTTCTCTTGGGGTCCCTTTTCACCACCCCTAAAGGGTACATAGACATACACCCACTGGTTTGGAGAAAAGCAACACGCTGCTCCCTGCCCATGCGGTGGGGGGGGGGGGAGATGGTGGCAAAGTCATTCATGTATCACGCTCTTAACGCTCTATGCGTTCGTGAAAAAACAAAGAATCAATACACAAAAACACTACTCCGCTTCGAGCAATCCCCACGAGCTTACGACCGTGAACACGGTTGTGTGAATTCAAGCATGGTTTTCGAGTGGCTTGGGGCAAATGACTGCTCAACAAGCTTTGCGTTGAGAGCCTTATCCACCTGTCTGTGTGTCAAACTCCACTTGTCTGCGAGCCGATCTAGAGAACTCAAACATTGGTTCCGTTAACAAAAGCCAAGCCCCTTCCAAAAAGAAACCCGACGGGGGATTAAACGAAGTTGCTTATTCACAGCCCAAACCCTGGGGGGTAAAAGGCTTTTAAAACAAAGGCCGTTACATGAACATCCTTTGTTTGACTAGCTGGGGGATGGGGGCCTGGGTGGAATTCCAACTTTACATCGTCAGCAACAAGCCTTTTCCACACCAAGCTAGACTTGCGAAGGCCTCAATGTTAAAGCAGCACATTTCTGCATCATCAATGGAACAATCATGGTCTTCCCGAAACATCAGCAAGACCTTTTCAAACCCAGCAGAAAGCAACGCCAGCCAGGACGAATGCGAGTGGTTTTTCGCCTGCCAAATTTCACGGCGTTTCACGGTCTTTCACTGCAAAAAAAAGGCGTTCACGCCAATTTCACGGTATTTTCACGCTTTTCCCTTGTCGATGTCCCATTGCTAAGCCCATGATCAATGTCTCTAGAAATCGCACAAAATTGAAGACCTTGAGCATTGACCAGCTTCAACATGTCTACATGGTTTTCGCGAGGGTTTGGAAAGCGTACTTTTCAGCCACAAGCAGTGCAAAGCCATGTGGCTACTAATGCGGCTGTCAACCCAATTCAAAGCGTCCAGCTTGCAAACAAAGGACGTTCCCCACATTTCACGGCCGCTTCCTAAAGGCCTTTCTTTTTAAGGCCCCCGAACCCCAGGGCAAAGAAACACAAAAGCACCACCCTTTCCGAGCATCAGGGCACACTCAAAGCACGAAGGCACCAACATGAAATGTAAACCCATCTGTGCGCCGGGCGGGACATTAAGCAAGACTAGACTGGCAAGCTGCTCTGGAGGGATACTGGCGGGATCCACTGGCGAGCCGCTCCGGCTCGATACTGGCCGGATACTCGGCAAGATCCACCGACAAGGGATACTCAGCGGGATACTTGGCGCGATTTACTGGCAAGCTACTCTGGGATTCTCAGCGGGATACTAGCGAGCCGCTGGCGGGATACTCGGCGGGATCCACTGGCGAGCAGCTCGATACTGGGCGGGATCCACTCTGGCGGGATACTCGGCGGGATCCACTGTCGAGCTGCTCTGGCGGGATACTCGGCGGGATCTTCCCACTGGCGAACTTCTCTGCCGGGATACTGGGTGGGGGCGTGGTGTAGAAACATCGGAAACGCGGATTCCAACATAAAATCTAGCCACCCCTTCCTGTCGGGTGGGGAACAAGACCATGATCTGGGCAAACTATAATGGCTCACCCACCGCAAAAAGGACAAACAAAACAACAAAAACAAAAAAGGAACCTTCGCTTTAGGCGACGTTGCCAACCTTGCCACTCCCCAAAACACTCCCCAAAACGTGACGTCGTCATAATTTCCCGATAGAACACTTGTATTTGGAGCCTTGCGATGTTCTCTTTCCAGAACCCAACTTTCCACCCTGATAGCGTTGGAACAACCATTTTGCGGCCTGCCAATGATGATTCACATCCCGTCCACAGCTAGGAGTCCTTCTGGAAAAATAGCTGGGTTTCCCGGGCAAATGGTTTGCATAAAACCAATTCAAACAAGTGGAACCCATCGATTTCTTATCAAACTACCCTAAAAACTTGCTGGTTCTCAGCAGGGAATGAGGGAATCACATCTATAAACCATCCCTTATGGCTTTCTTCCAACGAATCCCCAAACGGATCATTCCCAAAGAAAAGGACAGGTGCGCCTCACTTCAGAGGCATGGCGATAGCTGCCCTTGGCGGTGGCCAACTCGTAGCGGGCGTCCACGCCGTGCAAATCTTCCATCGTGACCCTGACCGACACTGCGACATCGGGGGGGACCTGACAAGCAACCCAGCCACGCAAAGCGGCGATGGGAGTGAAATCCGCGTTTCCGAAACCGGCCCAAAATTTAAAGGCGGAATGCCAAATAAATGGCATCCGCAATACTTCAAGGCCTGCACCTTGGTGAGAACTCCAATACACAAATCCACCAATTTGAGATGCACTCAGCCAAGCACACCATTGGTAATAGACATCTTTGCTCTTGGGTCCAAAGTGACATCCTCAAGACTACCCGCAAGAAGTGGCTTCTTGTAAGGGTGTACCCAGCCCCAAACTCAACATTTAAGCCTAGGCGGTATCCTCAACTATCTTGACCCACAAATTTTAAGGGGCTTTCCCCACCCCCCAAAAAAAAACTTGACCCAACAAAAAACAAGAAACACAACAAAAGAAACACAAAAAAAAAACACAAAGACCTTACCAACAAAACAAAAAACACCACACCTGCGACGTCCTCAGTCCGCCCCACGTTATGGGACTCCCTTCCGCCGGGTGAAGCGCGCCTCAATGCGCCGGAGGTCTCGCCGTTGTCGGAGTACGCGGCCGTGCCGGTGGCCCGCAGCTGCGGCACCTCGAAAGCGGAATCGAGGCCAAATGGGTTTGACAGCTAGTTCAGATCGGGTCATATGGGTGTAGTGTTTAGTGCTTGGATTTCCGGATTTCGCCCACCAGATGTTCTTCGCTAGCGGGGGCTTCCCGCAAAGTCAACGACCCTTGCGACCAGCTGCGCTTTGCTCCGGAAAGGACTGAGAAGAGGGATTGGACATATGGCTGTGGTTAATGCCCTCCCTGGCAAATGGAAACATGGACTAAAACCTGCGGTCCAATTCCTGGTGGTTTCATTTTGACCCAGATCTAAAAACCTTTCTGGAATCGCATGGCAAAAGCCTAAGGAGCCTAAGCCGGACGCCTAACCACCAAACCAACTGGAGCCCTGCTGACGCGCGCGCTTACTCGCTCCATCGCTTCATGGCTGGCCTGGGCTGGTGACACGCTGGCCAGGCCCTGCAAGCTGGGGTGGTCGCCATCCAGCTTGTAGAGCATCCGCAGCGCCACCTTCCTCGCCGCGCGTGGCTGGGACATGTTGGAGCTCGGCGATCCGGAAGTCCCTTGAGAGGCCCCAAATGGTGGCTTTGCTTTGGACCCCCGGTGGAAATTTGTGTTGCAACCTCCAAATAGAGTCAAAGGGTACGTTGAAAGGAGGTTCACTAGGGGAAGTGGCCTGATGGCAAAGTGGAAATCCCAACCAGCCTTTAAACAACCCGAAACGGATACCCTCAACAAAACACAGACCGTGTGTTTTGTCTAAAGTGACAAAGGTTCATGGCTGTTCACCATCCCCAAGAAAATCCATACCCAAGCTGCCTCTTGAAATTTAATATCAACTCCTTGACTGCCTGTTGCAATTTCGTCTGAGGATGGATTTGGGTTGTTATGCTCACATTATGCACTCACGGTTGCAGTGACTAAGCGCAGTGCAAAGCAAATGTGGGTCCCACAAAAAAGATGCTAAGAGAATACTAGCAAACAGTGAAGGGGTGCAAGGAATGTGTGCATGGTATGCGAGCCAATATTTCAAGACACTGCCATGAGTACAATCACAGTGCCAGCGATTCTGATACACCTTCAAGCGGCCAACCGACGTCCAAATGAAGGCTTGACTTGACATGCTGGCTGAAACGGCCAGGATCGTCCTTATGCATCCGGACTCGCGCACTGCTGGAAGTGTGCCAAAAGCCTCTTGCTGGCATCGAAGTAAAGGGTTCCCATGTGGCAAGAACTCAACAAGCAACAAGAGCAGAATGCTTTGGTTCAGGGGACCCAACAATGGGTGGTGTTCCTTTTGGTTTCACTTTGAAACCACCAAACAAGAGCAATTACCCTAAAAAAGAGACACCCATGTTGCAACAATCCAAGATATCTGGTTCAAGGCGCGAAGGCCATCTAATTCCAGCTCAAGTCGGTGCATTTTGGAGGGGTTTCCGCTTTTCCACTTCCGGATGGGACCTGAAAAACATCCTTGGAGGTCAAACTTCGGTGTTGGTCCCGCCAAAGGCCAAAAAGCCCGGCAACCCAAAAAATGGCGGGAACTGTTCGACCCCCCCCCGGCTCCCAAACTTAAAGCTTAGACATTCAGATCCTGCTTCAAATAAAACATATGATTCAAAATATCTGTTGGATGTACTTGGGATGGATCAAAGTACATCCTTGCAGTACATCCTTGCAAGGGACTCTTAGCCCACCACGCCATCACTTTGGATGTTGCAAAAAAGTTATCTAACAATGATGCCTTTTTGGTCTGTACTTGGATGTTCACCCCAGGTAGCTAGTAAGTGGTTAGTCATTTAGGGGTATACCCCCCTAACAGGGTTCACCCCACACATAAATGGGTTATAACCTATAGGATACCAACAACGAATGGCTTATAGCCTAAAAGTTGCCAACAGCTGGCTTGGCCGAAGACCCAAGGCCCAAGTAGCTGGGAGAAACGGGCTTGTGGTCTTTTCAGGGTACCATGTGCCCTGTTTGGGGTTGCTTTTTGACGGCTTTCACCGCAGGGAAGGACCCAGCCGCCGGCCAACGCCGCTGTTTGGTCGCGCCGAGCATCGAGTCGCCGCCCGCGAGCTTCGGCGCCAGTTTCTCGAGATCCGCCACCGCCGTGAGGCCCAGGGGGTGCAGAGTCACTGTGCCCTTCTTGGCCGAGGCCTCCAACGCGCCGCTTTGAGCGAAGGCATTTTCTGGCCGCGGCCGGGTTCTCCCGGACACGGGAACCCGGGGGAGGGACAGTTCCCTGCTGAAACCGCCAAAAAGGAGCCTCGAAACTCCGGACACCCCGCAAAGTGGAGCTGCAAAGGGGGGGGAACTCAAGGGCAACTCACGAGGTTTGCAGAGGCCTCCCAAAGCCACGCCTCACCGAAGTTCGGTTCGCGCATTGAACGATTGGGGTTCTGTATAAAGGAAGAACGTGTGAGCGAAAATGGTGCGCTTTGACCCAAGCTTCCTAGCATAGAGAGGCATCATTCCCCAGCAAGGGCTAGAAACTTGTGGTTTTCTTTGGGTTTCCCTTTCAATCCCACCCAACACATACCAACTCTACAACGAACCCACTGAACCATAGAACCTGAAAGTGGTCCCATCAAACCACGGACATGGAACTCGTTGCAATGGCGCCTGGAAATAAACGGCGCTCAGCTTTTGGGATGTGCGTGGGCGTTTGTGCATCCGAGGGTGCAACTGTCGTGCCTGGGCGTTTGGCAGAACCCACTTCGGAAAAGTGTGTTACTGCAAAATGTCCATATGTCCCACGACGCAAAAGTGTGGCCAGAGCCGTTTTTCTGCCGTGTCAGGGGATATGGTTTCGGGGTCGGCTGGCCATATATTGGGGATTCGAGTTTGCGGTTGTGCAGTTTGAGCTTCCGGTTTAGCGGATTTGTTGGGGCTTGTGGCTTGTCTGCAGTCTGGTGCCGTGGGGGAGCGCGGGACGGTGGGCAACGAGTAGCTGTACACGATGTTTCAAGCAAAGGCATCAGGCGTGCACATGTTTCACTCGCGCCAAGCTGGCTTTCCCCTTGTTCCTTTCAGGAACCAACGAAAACGGGCCAAACTCTTTCAAACAACAAGTTGACAGTCGGCAAGTGTGAGACGAGAACTCCATAAGTGCGCAGCCCGCACCTTGGTGTCAACCTCAAGGGTAAGACCGTTGATCACTTCGTGCTTGCCGTCCCACTCCAGGTAGCCTGCACAGCCCATGCACGCGGGGTGCGATTTTGCAGCAATGGTTGCGTAAAAAAGACTCCTGATTACACTCCTTTACAGTGGATTTTGATTTCAATAGACTACATACCAAGTTGCGGCAACACTGTTTTGCGACGAACCCTCTCCTTGGGCAGGCAACACTTCTGAACGTATGGCTAAAAACGTTGCCAGTTTCCTGGCAGACATGGGCTAGTGCCAAAAAATGTGAGGTTTCCTTTTAGGCTTCCCGCTAAGGCAAACCCATCCACCTAGCTTTCCACCAACCATAATTAGAGTTGGGCCCAGTTGTAGAATGTATATTTTATTGTTTGCTTCACTTTGAGTCACTAGTAAAATGTAAAATGCATCCTAAGGCCACCACAGCAACCAGGCATCCGTCTCCCAAGGCGCCGGCCTTCCGCGTCATACTCGGCCTTTGGGGACACGTGGCCGTTCACGCCGAAGGCGAAGCCCCGCTTCGCCGGGGCACGGACCAGGGCATCCAGACCATTTGGGGACAGCCGCAGCAAGTACCTCGTACAAGTGACCGCCGCAAAATGCGACCTATGGACTGGCTGAACAAGAAACCAAGTAAAACATGCGACAAAATGGACTGACCGAAAAAGAAACTGGGATTCAAAAGTAACCTTAAGGACTCAAAATGGCGACAAACTTTAAATTTGAAGGTGTCCTCTTTGAGCGGTGAAACAAGCAACAAGCAATCAAGCTAGTCGGTCGAATTCTTGAGGTGTCCCAGTACCACGCATTCCAAGCGCAGACCCTGGACCTACCCTCCGACCAATTACCTGAACCGGACTCCGCAGAGTTCCAGATATTTTCCCAATCACTACCGAGCGAAGCTCACCTTTTGGCCAAATGCCAAGGTGCTGCAAAAGAAACCGCGAGGGGAACTACGCCATCCGGAACAAACATAAAAATAACATCTCCGGGTGTAAGTCTGCCCAGTCCGAAAACGGATCCTGTTGAAGGGTATGAGTCATGTTCAGAGCTCCTGTGGGTCATTCATGGGTTTTCATTAAAAACCGTGTCGAAAACCCCCAAGGTTCACAATTAACCATCCCTTCCAAGCCCAAGTAACAGATGTTTTGCCCATACGTGACCCCTCTTTACTCTTTGGGTTGAAACCACTTGTTGTTAGATTCGCTTGTTGTAAGGAAAACCCGTGGCACGAAAACCGAGCATTTAACTAAGCTCGCTTCCTTTGGCCACCCGGAACCGATCGCAGGTCCAGCGCACAAATGGGTCAAAAGCCAAATCGGTGAATTCACCAATTCCCCAAAATGGGATCCCAAAACGGTTTTGACCACCACAGCCAAATGTGGCTCGATCGCACGGCTTCCAGCGAGGCGCTGTGGGTCCCTGCTGAGGATCTTGCCGCCCCGCTTGGCGCTCCACCCCTCCAAGCGGCCCTTCAAGGAGGCGGCCCACTCGTTGCTGCTGATGTTCGAGGCCTCGAAAAGAAAAAACAAAAAACGCCGAGACCCACGATCCAGCGCAAGCAAGCAGGAGCCCTCAACCCGGAAAACAGCTTGGGAAACACGCTAAAAACCCATTGCGTTAAACGAAGGCGAAACGCAGGGAGGAATGCATAGCCGACACAAGGGGCACCTGAAAAAAGCATAGGAACCGCAAGGGCAAACCCATTGGGAAACACGCTTTTTTCTCATGGGTTAAAAGAAGGCGACACGTGGGAAAAGCACGAAACCGATCCCACAGGGTTTCAACTGCTCGACGCACCGGCCAATATTCATTCAGAGCAGTGGAGCCATGACCCCTGGTCCTCGCCTATGAGGATTTAGAGGATGTCTCGCTGCATTTCCACAGCTTTTCCAAGATTTCCCATGGGGCTTTCCGCATTTGCTTTTCGGTCCCACGGTTTGTCGTTGCGGTTTCTATGTCTTTATTTTTTTCCCGGGTGCCCCTTCAACCTGCAATTCAACTCTGCCGCGAGCTTGAAAGCGACTTGACGTTGCTGCGAGCTCGCGAGACTTTCGAACGAAAATTGACCTCAGGATCCCAAGCCCTCCATCCAACAGAACTTGGCCGAATCTCTGGAACAAGGAGCCCCTGGTTCTCGGCCAATTCCCCTAGATTGCTTTTCCACTTTGAAGGGATCTCCTTGGGATCCCCCAGAAACTCGTCCTAAAGCATTCTCTGGCCTCGCTGGTCGAGAAGACGTTCACCTTTGCTTCGCCCACAGAGGAATTGTACCTCGGGAGCTTTTTGCGAAGTTGCTCAAAAGGGTCCTTTGCATTGGATGGCCATTGGGGAAACCCCTAAAAATATGATATGTCCCACTAAATGGGATGATCAACCCCATGGATGTGACCAAATTGTGAGATTACGCATCTTTGGTGTCCTTTCAGGAACTCAACGAAAATGGCCTAGGAATCCGAGTCGGATTTGAAGGAAACCAAACCGCAGCCCGCCAAGGGTCACGTATCAATCAGAGGAAGGAACCCGTGCACTCGATACCACTTTAACTGGACCCGGGCAACACTCATCCAAATGGCCCTGCCTTGTGCCTAGGTTTCAGAACCTTCACATGTGATTCATTGATTGCAGGTGGCTGACTGCTTGGCCTGAAAGGGCGCTCGCTCGCCGCATGCGCGCTTTGCAGAGGAAAAACACCTTCATACACACTCTGAGTGGGCATTGCACAGCAAGAAGACGACCACCGAGCCCGGGGGACTGGAAAATCTCACGATAACAAAAGCGTTAAAGACGAAAGGGATCGGTGACATGGCAAACAAATTCGAATGTAGCCAAACCAGTGGCCAAGCAAGTACACAAATATGGCCATGGGTCAAAACCCCGTACCCCCAGTGAACATCCCAACTCCCACTAAAATAGACTAAAATGGGTGGTGCACCTATCCCAAACTGGTACCATTGGTTTCGAACCATGGCCATATCTGGTCAAAACAACTTGCAACTCAAAAACAATCTGTGCAAAATGCATGCCATCGAACCATACGGCAAGGATGAAGCAATCCAAGACCAAACCGCCCCCACCCCAGACATTTTGGCGTTTTAAATGGAACCACTTCAGGAAAACCGCGATTTCTGGGTTCCAAATCCCCTTTTGACCACATACCCAAGCAACTGAAGTGAGGGCTGCGGTGCTTTAACACCAAACTCAGTCGCATCTATACGAGTAGTCTGGTGTTGGTGTGTGTGTGAGGGGTAGGTTAAAGCCACTTTGACTCATGCCTGATGTTGACCCCGGATTAATCAACCAGTCCTTCATAGAAAGGTCTTCCCTCCAACACTGATGAAATCGATCGAGATCAGCCACAGGATCTGCCGAATCCCAGGTTCCCATTCTAGGCGAGCAAGCTCGCTGATCCAACTTGCGATCGGTGCGATAGGCAGGGAATGAGAAATCGAATGAACCCGAGAAAAACCATCCAACTGGTGGCGTCCCCAAGTTCCTTCCCTCATTCCCTACTGAGCACCAGCAGAAAAATCACACAAAATGGCTGTGGCTCAAAAGCCTTGCTAAATGGAAAGTAGTAACAGTAAAACCTGCGTAACCCCAGGTTTCCAATTTTGAGCCACACTCAATTCATTTCCTCATTCCCTACTCAGCACCAGCAGAAAAATCACACAAAATGGCTGTGGCTCAAAAGCCTTGCCAGATGGAAAGTAACGGTAAAACCTGCGTAACCCCAGGTTTCCAATCTTGAGCCACACCCAATTCATTCCCTCATTCCCTACTGAGCACCAGACAAAAAACATGAATAAAAATTAAAAACAAAAAATGGCGAGGCGCAAGAGCCCCAGCCCGTGGCGGAGCCAGGGCCTCCAAGATTGCCCTGGCCGTCGCTTGATGTCGAGGCCATAGCGGCCCAGCACATTGCCCCTCAGAGGCCTGGACGAAAACCGCGTCTTTCTCACGGAGCCCTTGGTGGGGCTTTAAGGGGAGCCCAAAAAGAAACCAAACCCCTGGGTCCAATTCGGAGAAATTTCTCCAGTCAGTCACGACACCGGGCCGTTTTCGCGCACGCCAACACTCAGCGCAGATTCCGCAAAAGAGGAGAAGGGGGGGGTTGCTACCTACAGATGCGACCGGTGGAAAAATGGCGGAAGATCAAGTTCCTCTCGAAGGGACCGCTAGGTGTCATCTGCGTGGAAGCGAGGGCAACTTGTCGGAAAGAGTGGCTGTTCGTTGTCCCTAAATGACATGCACAGCAGCAGGGTCAATGGAGTTGCCAGGAAGCTTCGCAGCGCATGGAATCAAGTTTCAAGGGTTCCTGACCATGTTGCACTTTCTGGTTTCAGTGCTTGACTTCTGGGTGCAAGCACTTGCGCACAGTGCGCACCCAACCTCCCCACGGTTTCCCCTGCTCTCACCACAATCTGAATCTGGCGCTACAGTTGATTTGCTCTTGCGAGCATGGTGAAGCGAGCCACTTGTATGGGTGAGCCTCACTGATTTGCCAAGCCACAAACCAGCACCCAATCAGACCTCGGCTCCCAAAGACATCTCGATTCCTGCCTCTCCACTCCCACCGCAGCTTCGTACAACACGTCGTCGCCGTTGCCCGTCATGGAGATGTGTAGTGGCTCGGACCGCTTGCCTTGCAACGGCAACATAGATGATGCCCAAAACCCAAAAGCAATGGAACCCAAATGCAGGACAACCATCTGGGATAACTAATTACACAAAAAAAAGTCGGATGACCTCACCAACATCTGGGATAACTAATTACACACACCAAAACCAGGGAGGACTAAAGCCAACACTCGGGATGACAAAGGCCAACATGTGGGAAGAATAAACCAACATCATTGCATCTGAGTTGCACGTTTGCAACACTAAAAGGGTTCAAATCGTACACCATCTGCGTATGTGTCAAAATCTGGAGGTCCTTTTGGCGTTCCTTTGAGCCAACCTCAGCGTATTCCCTAAAAAACACAACACGCGGCATGTTTCGAATATCTCATGTACTTCTCACGCGATTGGTGTTGGAAACAGACTGTTGCGAGCCCTACGCAGGTCCAACAAAAGGCGACCACGGAATGGCTTAGTCAGTGCTGAGCAATACGCAACACAATCATGTCTTGTGACGCCCCCTATGCATGACCTCCTCGATTGCTGATCGAAAAACCTCCATTTGCCTTCAGCCCCCTGGAAAACATCACAATATGTCCAGTAGTGATAGATTCCCTTCAAAACCAATAGGAAAAAGGCATGTTCTTAAGCAACTGGAAGGAAACTATCTGAAGGTCGGCATGGCGGGAGAAAACATCTACAGCACAAGAGCCGCGCTTTGGTTTAGCCTACGGGAAATCCTGCAGGCCATATTTGTTCTGGTAGGTGCTGGCAAGATTCCGGTGCAAACTCCTGTATATTCCGGGCTGTCCTCAGATCCCCCGCTAAAAGTTTAAATGGACAGTACCACTAAACCCACTAAAAACCACCAAAAAGCTAAGGGGATGGCTGAGAGCCGCCAACTAATACCTGGCTTCTGTGACTGAACTCCCTGCTTGCTGACAGTGCATCCGAAGTACCCGCCACTCGCAGCGTCCAGTCAACATTGCTTCCATCCTGCAAGCTGAGAATCAGGGCTAGGGGCTAGGGGCCCAGAAAAGAGTCATCAAAAACATGGCTTAGCCACCCAGAGGACGGCCGCGCCTGTTTATGCTGAGACCGTCCCTTGCGAAGCTTCACCTACACAGGTTTGACTGTGGTTCAAAAGAGCTTTCAACCAAATACTCACAACATTTGAGTGCGAACTTTACCCTTTGGTGGACGTCATGTAGGTGGAGATTCATGTCCCCCAAAGACTTGTCTGTGAGGTGGTCCCCTGTTGAAATTCATGGCCATTTTGTGTGTAGCCCGCAAGGAATTTTGCATTTCCAAAGGCCGCGAGCAGCACATACAGGACAGCTGCTATTCGACACCATCCTTGCCAGTCCGCAATGCTCAACCAGGGGCGAGCTACATGGCCATGAGTCAAAATCCCGCCCCCAGTGAACATCCCAATCCCCACTAAAATAGACTAAAATGGGTGGTGCACCTACCCCAAAAAAGGTACCATTGGTTTTGACCCACAGCGACATCTTATCAACAAACACTTGTTCGTGCCCTCCAAGATCTGCTCGCAAGAGATTCGTCTTAGTTCTATGGAGCAAACGGTTCGTATCTTCTGACAGGGTCGAAACAAACACATAAAAAACAAACAAACAACCAAACAAGCAAGAAAACAAACCAAAAGGAAACAAGCAAGCAAGCACGCAAGCAAGCAAATAGGCAAAACAAGGCAACACAAAGCAAATCAAAGCAAAGCAAAGCAAAGCAAAGGAAAGCAAAGGAAAGCAAAGGGAAGCAAAGCAAACAAACACGGGGGGGGGGGGGGAAAAGAGTAAAAACAAAAACATAAAACACACACACAAAGACGTGGACAAACTACCACTCGACCAACCAACCAACCAACCAACCAACCAACCAACCAACCAACCAACCAACCAACCAACCAACCAACCAACCAACCAACCAACCAACCAACCAACCAACCAACCAACCAACCAACCAACCAACCAACCAACCAACCAACCAACCAACCAACCAACCAACCAACCAACCAACCAACCAACCAACCAACCAACCAACCAACCAACCAACCAACCAACCAACCAACCAACCAACCAACCAACCAACCAACCAACCAACCAACCAACACAAACAAAATAAGTGCTGGGCAAGTTTGTCGGAATTTAGAATCTTGAATCTGGCTGTGCGTTTCAAGTCCTCGTCGGTTGCAGCGGCAAAGCCCAGCTTGGCCCTGGATGGCTGATAGCGGCTGTGCGTCGAGTCGTAGTTCAGTCCGTACGTGACCTGCCAGCTGGAAGCATGAAGCGAGCGTTCAAACAAAGGGTGCGTGTTTTTGTTTTTGTGCTTTTTTTTTGGGGGGGGGGGGTGGTACCCTTTCAGGTTGTCTAGAGGGAAATCAAAAGGAACACCACCGTTCTTGCGGTCCTAACGCCTAATTTCCAGAACCTGGCAGCTCGGGCTCCCATAGGCCTTGAGCATCTGCAACCTGCAAACGGGTTTTCCCAAGCAGCTTGTCTTCAGGACAAAATGTCATATCCTCTTACGAGCTCTGCCGGAAACAAGCTGTTGCTTGGCCACATGATCTCGTCTTGAGCATGTGTCCGGATCCTAGCTTGAGCCCCACAAAATACAGAACTCATCAAAACGGACCGCTCCAAACTCGGCATGCCCACCTTTTGGAATAACACCAACCACATTCCATTCTGGATTTTGCTCGCCGAAATCTGCACGTGGCAATTGATCGGTCTGTTTTCCTTCACTGCGCGGTAAAAATCAAAACAAAAAGCGGCGCCGTTCAACACTGGCCATCGAAATTTAAATTGCCAACCTGGTCACCGGTCAGGTCATTGCGATTCAACGCCCACAAACCATTGGCTTTTGGCTCTACTAACACAGCCACAATGGTTCAGCTTCATGAAACCAGGTAGAAGAATAGGGCGGTTTTGGGCGCTGTTCACTTGTGTCTTTCTTTGAGGGTGCCCATTTCACCTTTGGCTTAAAGGGCAACCAACACTCACCTTCGGCTTGTAGGGAAACCAAAATTCGCCTTCAATTTGGCTTAAAGGGAAACCAAAAGGGACACCCGAACAACACGACACAGCCGCCTGAAAAAACCCTACTGACCCCACTGGGCGCGGCGAGCGAACGCTCTCGACCTCTGCCACCCGCGGACCGCGCCTGGCCACCGCCCTCGCGAGCCGCGAAGAGCGCCGTGGAGCTGTTGCCGCTCTCGGTGGCCCTAGCGGATAGCTTCCAGTGGCCAATGCTCTTCTATTCAGAAAGCTGCTCGATCAAAAGGGGACAGGACACTTTAGGAAGTTTGACTCTCTTGTGGTGTGCGTGTTCCTGAAATCCTTATCTAACCATGTGGACATTCCGTTAATCCTGGTGTACTCTCGCAAGTATTTCTTGCCAGTCAGTCGGAAACTCCCGGGCGAGGGGGGGCGGGGGGGGGGGGGCCTCAGCGTGGGAAACTGGGGGGTGTCGAAAGGGTTAGAAAGTTTGTAACCGTATGCTGGACACTAAAGGGGTCTACTTTGCAACGTCCTTCTTTGGGGTGTTGTTGTTTCAGGGTTGGAGTCTGAAAAATAGACTCTAAGTGTCCATGGCACTGAGGGGTTCCCCTTCACATAGGAAACTGGGGGAGTTTAGGGTTTAGACAGTTTACTTTATTACCTTTGGTTCAGCGCTTAAGGGTTGCGTTTAACCTACTTCAAACGCAATACTTGAGCAATGCTCAAGCAAAACAAGCCTTGTTCAAACAAACTCAAGCGGGAAGCGGACGGCCGGAGGGGTTTTGAAAAAGATTACATCCCTCTTGCAAAGGCCGTGTCCAATTCCATTACTATTAAAAAGGGTACCAGAGTCGGAAACCGGGGCAGTGTTTGAAGTCGCCTTTCAATTCCTTCAAAGAGAAACTGGGTAAAGGTCCTTTGACATTTAAGCAGGTCAAATTTCAGGAGTTCTAGGTTCCCTTCTCTTTCTGAAGATACCGCTTTAGGCAGCCAACTGACTTTGCGGTGGTAAATTGGTGTTAGGGTTGGAAGTTGGAAACTGGGGTTGTTTCCATTCAACCTAGCACTTGAACAGTGACTTAATGCTAAAAGCAGGCAAGTATGCTTGATCAATGAACCCTGAAGCAGGGATGACACCTCTCTATCCTTCATTTTGAGGGTAAAGATGCATGCAAGATGCTGACCCATGGCATTCAAACACCCCACTGAAGTGAGTCCTGGCCATAGTACTGCCCCACATGGTTACAAAAACAAAAAAACAGAGGGGATTGCAGGGACCCCCTGCTTCAGCGCCGCTGTGCTTGTGGCGAAAACAGGGTCCGCTCTCTTCGGTCGGAGTCATTCAGCGGAGTCTTTTGCAGGAAGTCAAGACACTGCAAATCTTCAACCCAACTTGCTGGTGCGATAAGTAGGGAATGTGGGAATGAACCCAGGGGTCCCCTTAAAGGAAACCACAACGGATAATTTAAAAGGGTCGTTCCCGGAATTCCCTGAATCCCTACTGAGCACCAGGAGGTAAATTCGCAACTACAAATTCTCTCAATTTCAAATCGTCAACTAGTGAATGTGAGAAAAAGACAATGCCATCCTGGCCTGACAGATTCTTGCCATCACACTTGCGATTTGGATCGGCAAGCCAAACGGGTGTGTTTTCTCAATGGTACCACCCTTGGCAAATGGCAAGCACAACTTTCTGCGCTCGCAAACCATCTTTGAGACAGTTCTAAGCACAACATGCGGATCGTAAAAAAAAGAAAGGCCATACAAACATGGTCCGTACAAAGAAGACCCCCAGCAAAATTTGGGTGCGGCTTTTTTGGAAGCACCCCCCTTTTGGTTGGTTCTAGAGGAAACCAAAGGTGTTTTAACGACCATTTCTATGGGATCCCCAATTGAGTCCCTTAGTTTCGAGCCACGCAGGCGATCTGTCGAGTCCTTGCCTCACTTGCCATTGCTGCGAGCCCTGGGAGACGGTGTCCACGGCAAAGCTCTTCCCAGCGATGCGGAGGTTGTGCGGCTGCTTCCAAACCTGGAGGGAACACGTGAGTCATAATCAAAACCCGGTATTAAAATGGTCGTAATCCCAGAAACATGTAAAGACTTAAGCTATTTATTGTTGGGATTGTCCCTTACTAGCCTTCATCTACCCGGGTTTTGATTGTGGCTCACGTTGGAAAGTGTATGTGGCGTGGTTGCTGTTAACCCGCTGCAAACAGTTTAATTTCTGGGGGGGGGAGGTGATATCATTTGTACCTTCAACCATCTGTGAAAGCGCACAGGCAAAGATGAGCAGAAACAGCGGACATGACTTCGATTGCAGATTGGCCCAGACATGTTTTCCAGAGAATGCATGTCTCTACAGTTGGGGGCCATGCGTACTGCGGCCATGTTAAGCTAGCTGCTGAAAAGTTGTCACAGAATCTGTGCTCAAACCTTGGCCCGCGCAAAGAAACCTGCATTCAGGGGTGGCAGTGAGCTGCCCGGTCTGGAAAGTATGTCTGCTACATACAGGTATCATTTGCCACATAGCCAAAGGTCTCATGTGGTCATGCCAGCTGAAAAGGTCACGTGGAAAGCACATGTGATGGTTCTCTGCATGTAGGAATTACCTGGCAACACTGCAAAGGACCCAGATGTGAAGTTCTCCCAGCGCCCTAGTGAGTTTTCTTGAGGTCCTCGTATCATCAAGGGGCCCTACTTTTAATGTTTGCAGCATGTCTTATCTGTTATGGTCTAGAGGGTATAGGATACTAGTATGGTCCAGAATCTAGGAATTATAGCATATTGACAGCTCCACCTGTCACGTATCTGCCACACAAACACCGGCGATAGGAAATCCGAAACCCACCCAAACACAAATACACACATGTGTATGTACATTTTATATGTGTATATATACATATATATATATATGTATGATCAGCCTCCCATGATCTACTTTTTGCTCCTGGAAGTCCCTTCAAATAGTTTATCTGATTGCAATTCTAACATTGAAGGGAGTTGATTTAAGTTTGCAGATGCGACAAAGCACAGCCAGGAATTATACGCAATGACCTGCAGGTGGGACATCCTTCAAGAAACACGTGCTTTGGATTTGCAGTGGGGACAGAACGCAAACAGGTGTGATATACAAGGTAGATCATGGGGGGCTCGGCATATATACATACAGTTACATACACATTTATCATCTATGTATACATACAGTATGTGTTTCGGTTTACCACCGAACAACTACGTAATCAGTTCTGCAGCGCTTCTACCACATCACCAGTTGGAAGATTCTGGCAGATTCCAGCTCGCAGGCTCCACTCCGTACATTCACCCGAAGCTCGAGGTTAATTCCCCATTCTTTTCAACCATCGTTCTGTTCAAAACCCAGCTATTTTCCCTGGGTTTCTGGGGGTTTTCTGGAAAGAAGGATCCCTGGAAAGAATGGACATGTTACGCCTGGAAAAGCACCAAGCCTTCAAGGTCTTTTTCAGCTGCTCATCTTCTGCGCTGCTCCAGCCGAGGCTTGGCGAGTAAAACGCCAAGGCCTGGCAAGACAGGGGCCCCCAAGTGGTCAACGGTCGACTCTGGTGGTCCGGATCCCCTCCAGACTCACTTGGCCGTGGGTCAAAACCGTTTTGGGATGCCCATTTTGGGGTAGGTGAATTCACCGCCCATTTTGGGTTACCTCTTTTAGTGGGTCACTGGTACGACATTTTGACCCATGGCCACTTTGCCCAACGGACCTGGCATATTCCAGTTTGCCTTCTCACACACCGACTAAAAGTTGGGCCACGGGAAAATCCAAAGGTCGAAAGGTCGGTTTTGGACTGAGAAAAGAGACACACCGAAAAATCAAGCAGGGGTTCTCAAGTAAACATGGCGCACATGTGACTATCTGGCATTCCCTCCTATATCCCAAGATAGGGTCAGTCAATGCTGTCGCCCAATGCGATTGCTCCTTTGATGCAACAAACATGGGCAGACACATCAGACCCCAGTCCTGATTCATGAATGTGGAGCTTAAAAGTACAAGTACAAGGAAGCGAGGAAGCGGGTCATCAATGAAACCTCCCACTACAATCAAACCTAAGTGAAAGCCAACCAGATTGCTGATGCCAGGTTGGCTTTCAAATCATACATTTCAAGCTAAAGTGTGGAACAAAAGATGTGCGACTGCAAGTCGTTTGCCAATGTGTGCTTTAGACGGTGAGACAGAGAGAGAAAGCGAGAGAGAGAGAGAGACAGAGCGAGAGAGAGAGAAAGAGAGAGAGACAGAGACAGAGACAGAGACAGGGACAGGGACAGAAACAGGCAGAGAGAGAGAGAGAGCGAGGGAGAGAGAAGAATGAGAGAGGAAGAGGGAGAGGGATAGAGAGAGAGAGAGACAAAGAAAGAGGCAGCAACTCGTCAGAGGCAGAGGCAAAGGCAGAGGAGGACAAGGAGGAAAAGGAGAAGGAGGAGAGGAGGAGGAGGAGGAGAGGAGGAGATAAAATATGTACAGACCTATAGGCTGTGTAGTTAAGTTCTCTTGGCCGGGCAGCGACCCAATAGAGAAAGGGCCAAAGAGGGAAGGACCTGGAGATGAGAATATTGATGTGTATAAGGGCTGCAAAGACTACTTGAGCGTTGTTGAAGCCCACTACCGGTTTAGGCCTTGGTCTCAAATTTGAGTTGCACGTTGTCAGTCGTGTGAAATTGTAAGCCGTTGCTTTCAAGTCTTCAGCGGTTCCAACGCAGTTTGCAAGCAAGCAAGCGCACATCATGTCCATGGCCTGCCTGGATAGCTAGCAACGGCTCGGGTGTTCGAAAGCTCGGCTGCCTCAATTCCTCTAAGTTGTGAGCATTCCATTGTTCAATCTCTGCCACCTGTCATTGGACGATCGATCCGACTCGATGTGGCCAGGCTGTAAGCGCCGGGCCAGCACAGCACAAAGCAGCACAACCTTCTTCTCTCGCCGGGCCATGGCAAATCACTGGAGCTCCGAATAGGCACTGCGAATGGGCTACAAGGGGCTGCAGATCAAGCTTTCGAGCTGGCCGCATGCATCTCCCCCGCATTGCTATTTTTACGTTGAACCCAAACCCGCAGTCCTCCCCTCTGGGAGATCCATGCTAACCAGGAATCAATGCGCAGGCGCACAATTCCATTCCTGGGGACGACGGTTGCATGACTTCCTAATAGTAATTTGGGCTCGTGTGCCAATGTCATTATCTTTTTACATGAAGCAAAAGAGAAGGGCGCACAAACGGCGAATCCTTTTGAAACCCCCTTTCTCAGGGATTTTCAGTAAGGTGGGGGTGAGGTTCATTTGGGACCTTTCCCGTTTCAAAACCTTTCCTTCTCCGAATCTGCGAATCCCTTCAAGTCAAATCTGGACTTATTGTTTGTGTGTTCCTTTGGGGGGGAAGGGTTTTCAGGTTTTCAGGCGAAAAAAACAGAGCCTTGCAGGCTCCCCGCCACTCGAAGCCCGTCAGACGTTTCCGTCGTTTCCGGCCTGGCCCTCCTCCAACTCTGTCATACCTAGGACTGGCACCGTCCGCGGTCCGCGCGTTGGTTTTTGCGTGCACTCACCATGGGGGTTGATCAAAGGGTCCGTGATACATGGGACCATTGCTTGGAAAACCTCAAAAACAATAAGATTTCCCATATGGAAGTGAACTCACATGTGATCAATATACTTCCCATGGCGATAGATTCCCTTTATACTTCCAGTAGTGATAGATTCCCTTCCAAACCAACAGGGAAAAGAAACAATAATAATCTTAAACAAATGGAAGGTTTGCAACTCAACATAGGAATTGGCTCCTCCCAATTGGCGGCATTCCTTTGGCTCCCCTTTAAAACCACCCAAAGAAAAGACAGACCACACGGGGGTGATCAATACGACCACGGGTAACTTTTCCCATGTGCTGAACGTCAGATATCTTAAGAAGGTTGTCCAAGCAATGCTCATCTCAAGGACCTGTTGATCAACCCCAACATAGACGACCCCTAACTCGCTTGCCCCGCGGAGACTTGCAAGATGCAGGCCACGCGACTGAAGTAGAAACCAATTTAGGCTGGCCGTGTTCCACTTCCAAGATAGTCTACTTCAAGGGCACCAAATGTACAAAACAAAATGAAATTGGAAATCCCCACCATGCAAAGCACGCTTTACCCCGGCTGGGTGAGCTTGGCTTAAACATTGGCAGACTACGATTCGCAGTCTAGCTCTTCTAGTCTCAGCTGCAGCGACGGCAAGAAGCGCTTCGAGTCTTTTGTGGCGCATTTCGCAGCACTTACAAGCAGGCACATGCCGAAAAGCAGTCCGACAGCTCAGGTGCTCAAACACCCAAAACTGGTGATGACCCCGAAGGGCTATTCAAGGTAAGAATGGCAAGCAGTTTACAGCTTGCCACGGCCATCTTTGAGCAAAAAACAGAAACATGGCGCATGGAACTATTCCAACTCGCGCCTCCAAATTGACCGTCGACATGTTCATGTCACCAGGCCTCCAACAACTCTTCAGTTGCATCTGCAACTTCTTTCAAATCAAGGCATTTCCTAAACTAACAGTCTAGGTCCTCCAGTAGAGAGCTTAGAAAAGGGTACCCTTTTTTCTGTAGTCTATTTTCGTAGGGGAACCCTCCCCTAAAAAAAGGGTGAGAAAGGACACTACTGGAAAACCTAGCAGTGCAAAGGTTTTGTTCCAAATCCTTCCCATCGCAACTCTGGACGTTGGGATCCGACACGATCAAAAGACCGCCGCGGGCGTCCGGAGATCTTGTTCCTTCCGACGCTGACACGCCTCACAGGGGGAAAGCCTGATCGTTCAAACCACTGTTCTTGATGTGAAACAGCCTCCTGTCCATTTCTTCAGCTAAAATATCTTATGATAGAAATAGTGATTCGGGAGTAGTTGCGATGTTCCAATCACACCAACCTGGACCCACAAACGAGCACAAATTTCCGCTCGAGGGAAGAAGTGCCCGTTTCTCTCAATAGCGCTCGTTTAGGCAAAATGCGCGAGGCCAAATAAGTGCTCGGGTGAGTGCCCTTGCTTGCGCATCCTTATATGTGTGCACAGTGGATAGCGTACCTTCATATTCGAGCGAGCACCTGGATATACTCCAAAATCCAAATCCCATGGAAGTGGATTTCTGCTCGAATTGCATCTTTTCCCTAAAACATGCTCAAATAAAGTGCTCGTAGAAGCCAAAACCGCTCGAGAGAAGGGTTTGCCACAAATTTGTGCTCGTTTGGGGGTCCAGGAAGGTTTGGTTGCTGCCACTTTTGAAAGTGGGGAGCAGCGAGCACAGGAAAGCCAAAAACCGGGAAGCAGCAACGTCGCTTGTTCGTCGTTACTTGAACACCGTTCCCAAAAGTTCATGCATTTAACCTTACATGCAACGTAAACTCACTTTAGGATCAAAAACGCGATGTTTAACACCACCCCAGAGAAATATATGGGTATGGGTCAAAATTAAACCACCAGGGGACCGCAGGTTTTAGTGGTTTCCACTTACCAGGATTCCATTTGGGGGTTACCCTATTTTTTTCCCACGGCCTTATAGGAAACCCTGCTGAGACCCCTACCAATTTGCCCCCACACCTGGAAGGGCAAGAGCTGTTCGACTTCAAGTCGCGGCCACCACGCGAGCTCCAGCTGTGAGGGCGGCCTGCTGCTCCAGATGTGCGCCTGCGGTTTTGTGAGTCTCTCACTTCCCGAGTGGATGGTCCAAAAAAAGTCTGATCTAAGGGTTTTTGTATTACATTCTGGGAATGCACCCACTGGGCATTGACCCCATTTAGGCACATTTCCGGATAAAACCGTGTTATTTTGAACCATTCTGGGGCATTTCCCAAGGGTGCAATCCCAGGGTGTAATACAAAAACCCTCAGAACTGTGTTCGCCACTAAAATGGTCTTTCCACAAAGTATAAAGTCCAGGAACTCGGTAAGCGAGGTCTGTCTCAGAACAGGACATCCCCCCCCAAAAAAGAGAGCAAAACCAAAAAGTGAAAACAAACACAAATCCCAAAATGGGAGCTTTCCTTTAGGTGTGCATTGAAGCCAAGTGGGATAGCTTCAAGGAACACTCACGCAATCGAAAAAAAAAAAAAAAAAAAAAAAAAAAAAAAAAAAAAAAAAAAAAAAAAAAAAAAAAAAAAAAAAAAAAAAAAAAAACCTTTCTCACCGCCAGAAACTATCTCAACTTGTTGGGCCACACAACGGTTTCAACACGCCAACAAAAAACAAGCTTGTCAAGTCAACTTTGTGTTTTTTTGGCAAAAGGGCGCAATGCACCTACCGCCCAGTGTTGCTTTCAGCTTCAACTGGCTTAGCGCAAACCCCTGTCATCAAACATACTCTTAAGCGCAGGTAACCGAGATCGCTGAACCCCATGTGCAAAATCGCCACGGGAAATCAGCCGCTTGCGCTCCAAACAAAATGGCTCGTTTCCCAACGCCCAAATAATCAACAGACTTCCACTAGTCGCTTGTCAGTCCACCCAGCCCAGTGGCGCTGGAAAGAAAGGGGCACTCTTTTTGTTGGAAACTTCTTCTTTTTCTGGAAACCCTTTTTGTTGCAATGAAAGTTTTTTTTTTTAGGGAAACCCCCCCCAACAAAAAGGAGAACAGGACGGGAGGTCTTCGGTTCCCACTTAGGTCTTCGGTTCCCGCCTGCAGGCGCTCAGCGTCCTCGTGCCGACCCAGGTCTTGCAGGACTTGTACCCACATCCGAAGGCTCTCTTGCGTGTCCTCGCAAGACGAGGCGCAACGAAGTGAACGAAGTGGGGGCCTTCTGGCAAAACACCGCTGCGTGCGCCTTGCTTTAAGGCCCCCCCTGGATTTTTTTTTCTTTTCTCAGTTTTTGTTCAGTGTTTTTCAGTTTTTTTTTTCCATTGGCGTCCCTTCAAATTTGTAAAAGGGGGACCCTCAACAAACGATACACCCACTGGCTTTGATTTGTCCAGACCTTTCAACCACAAACAAAACTATATCTTGCTGTCTGGATCTCGCCGCTGGCTCAACAAAATATTGACGGTGCAATGAATAATTTCTCGAAAGCTGAAATGTCTGAGCAAAGCATTGCACTTCAGCATCTCCAAGAATTTCCATGAGGGTTGTACTTCATAAACTGGGCAGAAGGAGTCCCCAAAGGGCCTTTCTCGGTGGAATCGCTTGCTTTACCCCAGATCAGTTGGCTTGCCATCTGCCCGCAACATCAAACTCGCAAACCAATGTGCCAGAAGAAGCAGGCACGGGTATCACCTGAATAACCTGGGTGTGTCTACAGAGGATCCCCCGAAATGATGATTTAGATCAACCCAAGGACCCCAAAAAGGACCTCAGCCTCACCTGGTGCCTGCATGTCTGCTCACAGAGCAGCGCAACGCGCTAACTGGACCCGGTGCCGGAGTGAACTTGGTTGACGTTGGAAGGGGAGCACAAATTTAAATTTTAGCAGTTAAGTGGGGATTTCCCACTAAACCACAATAAGCAAAAATGTAAAATGTTTACCCAACAACAACCCTGGCTGGGAAGGGCAAGGTACCGACCAAACAGAAAATTGGAAGGCAGGTTCAGCCAATGGTTCTGCCAAGGTCGTTGCGGAAGGTTCTCGCGTTCTGCAGTCCCTCCAATCATGGTGGTTGCGGGGAAACATCCTTGTGATACCAACATGGGCCGTCCCGACTGCGACATATCACTTTCAGGGAGGTCTCCCCCTTGTATCGCGGAAATTGGCCCTACAAACTTTCCCACGATCCGCAGCCAACCTTGAAGTCTGCCCACAGTAGCTCTTTATCTACTGATTTCAGGCCCCTCTCTCTTGTTGTTTTGGTACTCATTTTGACCTAACCCAACCCCCAATGAACCCAACCCCAAACCAAACCTCCTAAACCAACCCCTAACTCAACCCCTAACTCAACCTCTCACCCCCAAGCCAACCCCAACCCCACCCAACAAATTCCTTCCAACCCCCAACCCCCCCCCCCGCCCCCGCCCCAACCCCCCCCCAACCCCCAACCGCCTCCCTCCCCTCGGCCCCCGGCCGGGTGGTCCAGGCCCAAGCCCAAGCGCCGCCGCGCGAAGGCCGCGGAGAAGCACTCCCCCGCCTCCGCCACGCAGTCCTGCGCCAGGAGCACCTGACGCCCACGCCCCCGCCAGGCCACCCACGCGCGCCCAAGGCGCGCCGAGCGCGCGGAAGTCGGGGGAAAAAAAAACGGCGGGGGTGTTTTGGACCCAACTTTTTGGGCTCCGAGTGGGGTGGAGGGGGAAAAAAAAAAACAACCCCATCCAAATGGAAAACATGGGTCCGAATGGATCGTTTCAAGTGTTTGAGTCGGGCATGGGAAACCAACCCACCAAACCACCAAAGAGAGAGAGAGAGAGAGAGGGAGGGAGAGAGAGACGGATACAGAGAGAGAGAGAGAGAGAGGCAGAGAGAGAGAGAGAGGCAAAGAGAGGCAAGCACAAAGAGAGAGGAGAGAGAGGGAAAAGAAGAAGCTTCAAACTATAGAGTTGAAACTTCCGACCCCCAGCTCTGCCGGACTTTGCTGGTATATGGGTCTGTGTAATACTCTCTTGAATCATTTGAACATTTGGTAAGACTGAAACGGCAAAAAAGGGTCCTCGTTCGAGCAAGGGGATGGTTTGGAGCTCCACAAGATGCTTGCAAAACTTGTGGATACAAATATATATATATATATATGTATATGCTTGTTTCCTAACACGGGGGATCCCCTTTTCCCTTTTGGATCAAAGCGAAACGGGGCCTTTTTGGAAGCCTTTTGAAGAAAGCCGACAGATCCATGAGATACAATCAACCCGCTCGTCAGTTGAAGTGCTTAACATCCAAGCATTGTCACATCCGGCGAGCGGCCCGGTTCCCCTCCCTTATAGCCGCTTTAAGTTGGAGCAATGAAAGCTGTAATCTTCCTTTCGTTGTCGGATCTCCATCGAATCCAAAATACGATGACCGTACCAGCACCTAACGACTACTTTTTGGACAGCATTTCGGACACGGCTTATTCTTTATTGAACAGCACTTGTTTTGAATATTCATTGAGCAAAAACCAATCCCTGGAGGGTGGGACATTCCTCACTCAGCGCCTTTCCCAAGCAAGTGAGGTGGGTCAGAGTCTCGGGATGGTCGTAGCCAGATCTCTCCCTTTCGCCTTCCTTGGTGCCACGTGGCTCGCGCAATGCCACAAATATCTCAGCTGAGGTGGTCTTGGATCCACCCAAAAGTTAGACTGTTTGCTGGTGAGTTGGGAAATTCGGGCTCACTATCCAGAAGGAGAAAAAGGTGAAAGATCACAGGGGGCAACCAAGTCAACCAGCATTCTAATATATCCAAATGGATGCTATTGGTGGTTCTTCCATCCCGGTCTTGCGTGTGTGTGTGTGTGTGTGTGTGTGTGTGTGTGTGTGTGTGTGTGTGTGTGTGTGTGTGTGTGTGTGTGTGTGTGTGTGTGTGTGTGTGTGCGTTTCTCTGCGTATGCGTGCCTGTGTGCCCTTTGAACCCAAGCTGACAAGGGTATCCTCAAAAACGACCTCGAGGGCCCAGTCGCGAAGGCCTCGTGGTAGAGCAGCTCCGCCTCTTGCAGCTGCCTTTTGGTGCCAGAGGCATGCAGCAGCCGGGCCAGGATAGTGAGGTACGCGCAGGTCTCGGGGTGCTCCGGCCCCAACGTCTTCCGCTTCTCCTAGAGCCAGGCGGCGAAATGCAAAAAGGTAGGACCATGGACTTAAAACCACTCTTACTTGAAGTAACCTACACTTGTTTAAACCAGATTTGAACACCACTCTGGCTGAAATCACCTCTTTGGGTTTCCCTTTCCAGGGTGCTGAAACAGGCTGCGTGTTTGCTCCTTGCACGTTTCGCCTAGCCCAGCCTCCAACAGAGCGCGGCAGGCCCGCTCCAGGCCGTCCAAACTCTGCTGGGTCTCCGCATGATCGCCCAGCTTCTGCTTCCGCAGCTGGTAGCTCGACTGGAAGTACTCCTTGCTCTCAGAAAGCTTACCTCGGGACACATCTCTGCGGAAGGTTCAAAAAGGGAAGTGTAGGGAAGACCAAAACTCACTTCCTGACTTGATTGGTCAGACAAAGTCCAAACTTCTCATTTACCGCTAACAATTGTCTTCCGATCTTCCCAAAAAGTTTCGTCCATGAACTCACCTGAAGAAAAGGCGAAGGAAAACAAAAAACAACTTTCTGGAACCGGAAGGCTGGTTGAACCACCCAGCAAAAAGGCGAAACGCGCACAAGGCTTCGCTCCAACAAGGCGTCAAGTTGCCTTGCTCCAACAAGGCCTCCGCCAGGCCATGCAGGCCCCTCCTCGGATTTTTTTCGAGCACAGACCTGTGCCTTCAGGATGGATGGTGGGTGCCCTAAAATGGTGGGTGTCCTTTAAGGTTTTCCGTGAAATACCACCATTTTCAGAAACACCCATAGTACACTAAAATGGCGGGCTTCCTGTTTCCTTTAAGGTTTTGCGTGAAATACCGAGCAAAAACACGCCTACCATTGATGGAAACACTCCTATGAGTGTTTCTCAAAATTGGCCCCCCTGCCGGCTGGTCGCTTTCCTTTTGGTTCCCTTTCAAAACCAACCTATACGAAAGTCCTACATGTTGGCCAGCACGTGTAGATAAACTGAACCCCTTGGGTCGAAAGCTTGGAGTGGAGCCACCAAAAGGGAGGAGACAGCCCGCTGCTTGTGGTTGAAATGTAGAGCTCGTCCTCCCATGTCCCTTCTAATCGACCATCTGGAAACTTGGACCCAACCTTAAGGTGAGCAGCAGTCAATCTTTACTTGTATCTAAGGTAAAAGGAATGACATTGAGCGACCCCCAACAAATTTTGGCTGTTGCTCACGACAGCTCCAGACATTTGACCCAACCTCACATCTCTTGAGTCACAATCCAAAACCGGCACTAAAGGGGTCGTCCCAAACCCATGGAAAATAGTCCAAAGGGCGGATATCCACGCCTGTATGGTTGGGACTTTCCCTTTACTGGACATTAATGACTCACCTTACAAGCAAAACGTGGGTATGTGTCCCACCAATTGGTCGACTTCCTGCTGGTTTTCTCAAACAAAACATAAAGGTTTCTGTCAACAAAACCACAACCCCAAACAAACCCTATGTCGCTCTCTTTGCAATGGTCGCTCTCCCGGTCGATTTCTCTCCAAACAACCTTACAAACACTACCAACACACACACACATATGCCACACAAACACCTATGCCACACACACACACAAGGCATACTCTTAATACAGCAAAGAGTGTTCTTACTGTCAAAAAACAAAAACACGGAGCCCACACACACACACATATTACAATATTTCCCTCAATCCAACCTACAAAGGCCAACCAACTCTCCCACCAACACCCAAACACACACAGAGAAAGATGTCTCGTGCTGTTCTTCGCCGCGTTTTTTGAGTATAAGGCGCAAGGTCTCCGGGTGGTCTTTGCCCAAACTCCGCTCCAGGCGCTGTACGGCCCGGCGCCAGAGGCGCTCCGCCTCCAAAGCGGATCCCTGCAGGAGGCCGGCTGAGGGGCAAGGGTTGCATCAGATGTGTCGCCTGACTCCCTCGTCAGCTTTTCGAAGGTCAACCAACCAGAAAACCAAGAAATGTCTTTTGCTCAAGGCCAACCAACCAGGAAAATCAAATCAAATGGATTCCCTTCCAATTTGGCTACCCTTTCTTTTTTGCAAGGGGAACCATCCAGTTTTGGGATTCCCCTTTGGCACATACCCTTAGCTGGTTTTGGAAGGTGAACCAAAAGGAGAACCATCCCACTTTCGGGGGTACGGACCCCGCCAAATGTTTGACAACCTATGCCCAAACGGGTGTCTCTCCCCCCAAACAACAACTCAGTTTGTCAGTTTGCTGGTGTCTCTTCAAGCACCACTCCAAACGGGGTAGCCTCCCCCCCCCAAACAACAACTCAGTTTGCTGGTGTCTCTTCAAAAAACTCCAAACCACTGGTAGCCTTCGAAGTGGCACGCCGCAGCCCTCCAAAGGCCTGGAGTTGCAAGACCTCCGCGAGCGCTTGGAGGCTCGACACCGTGTCTCGGTGGCTTGGGCCCAGCAGCTCCTGAAACCGACGTCTTGCCATTGGTGGGCATCACTTACTCGGTTGCTTTCTGCTCCCCTGCAAAAAGTGACTAACTTTTAGTGGTTTAGTGGAAAACCCATTAGTTAAAGTCCTAACAGCCCTTGGCAAAATGCACCAAAGCTTACACGGGGATTTACGTCCATCAACCGGTTTGACGAGATCCGGATGAAAACCGATGGCCAAATCTGTTGAACAAGAACTCTCATCCCCAAGACGATGTGAAAACTGTTCGGCAACCATGATTCCCTTTAGGCGTCCTTTCATTGGTGGCACTGCACATCCAAGGGACTGTTGGCTTCCTTACTCCATTGGAAGACATTGGGACATGCCTATTTCGTTTGTAGCGTCGGGGAAAGCCTTGGCTTTGCGCGGTAATCTCTCTCTCTCTCTCTCTCCCTCTCTCCCTCGCTCTCTCTCTCTCTCTCTCCCTCTCTCTCTCTTTCTCACTCTCTCTCTCTCTCTCTTTCTCTCTCGCTCTCTCTCTCTCTCTCTCTCTCTCTCGCTCTCTCGCTCTCTATCCCTCTTTCTCTCTCTCTCTCTCTCTCTCTCTCTTTTAGGGTGCATTGGTTTGGATGATTGCATGCGTTGACAGTGCATGTTTGGATTTGCGCTTCGTTTACATTGTGATCACTTTGAGATTGTCGTCTGAATTGGATTTGCCTGGACAGTGTCCTTGTGATTATTGGATGGTGACCAAATGTTCGCGTCAGGTGCAAAAAAACAAGAACGCGCGTCTGCGCCAAATCTTCCAGTGACTATAGTAGCTCACCAGCGTTTGTTTAACTCTTATTTGTTTTAGCATCATGGTCAACATTACTGTCGGTATTGTGGATCATCATGGCCCTTAAGAACCGTTACATTCGTTGTCCCAAATCCCCATTCTCTGATCCTTGGTTGTCGAAACCTTTCTGATCCCCCCTACCTTAAGGGGGAGGGGGGTCGCCCAATTCCACATATCTAGTATTCCCCATACAGCAAACAGAACCATAAATGAAATTCCAGAAAGTCAGCCCGCTCCTCAATTTCATTGATTATTTTGGGGGTGGTGGCTCCCACCAATCCTACCTTGAACCCAGAGGGAGCAACAGCTGATCAGAAAAAATCGGGGTCAAAACCATCCCTTCCCCACCTCTCCTCCCGGCCCTCCAGGGCTTCGCGAAAGAAGCGCTCTGCGGCCTATGTTCATCGTGTGCCAGGGTCAAAACCGGCAACATCTCCGCCGTGGTCATGGGCCCCTTACCAGAAACTCTTACAATGGTCTGAATTCCCCATTGCAGGGGTCCATGACCGTCCCTGTACAAGGACGGCATTCAAATGGGGAGTAGTCTCCCACCATTTTTGAGGAGGTTTGTCAGAGATCATGCTGCATGTGACTTTTCACCGCAGAGCACGTCAAACTTGATGGTGGAAAAAGCCCGCGTGTCCTGCCCACATCTCCCTAGGCCTTGGGGGGAAAAAATTCACCAACTGTCCCCAGGAGGCCACGATTTGGGGTCATAACGACAAGAAAACACCCGGTGTTCGGCATTTGACGATCCGAATTCCAGACTTGAGGAGCTGGAGCCTCGCGCATCTCAGCTTACCCCGTACACCAAAATGCCTCTCTTTTTTCTAGGGGTATCATGTCGACCCTCTGCTAAAAAGAATGGTATTTCCCATGAAAACCCAGGTTTTTCAAAATATACCCCAAGAAAGGTGGGTATTTGGATTTGGGGGTGGCATCAAGTTCATAAACTGAAGTCAGCCGGGCCCATGATTTGGACTCTTGGGGCGTCAGAGACCAAGGGGATGGCACGCTGAAGCTCTGGGAGCACGGGAAGAACAAAACCTCAACCCGCACCAGCAACGACTGGTTCATGTACTCAATCCACACTGACCAAACAAAGCAAAGCTACAGGGAGGTATCTATGCGAGCTATGCACTTCAATACACTCAAGCCTAGCACATCCTTCAAGGGCAGAGTGAGGGCTAAACAAACCACCGCCGGACCCAACACACAGAATGACATGCAACTCGGCGATGAAATCATCTAACACATCCACCCACCACAACCACTCCAACCACCCAACCACTCCAACTCCAACAAAAACCGGCCCACGAAGCTCCAAACATATTTGAAACCAACCACTCACCAGTCCCAGCCTCCGATCCCAATTCAATTCTACGAAGCTCCGAATAGACGTTTCGCGCTCGTATGCATCTATTCGATGTCAGAATCACCACATTATTGCATATTGCTAGATCGACATGCGAGTCATAATCAAAACCCGGTCTTAACCCTTGCGAACCTTACTAACCTTCATCTACCAGGGTTTGATTGTGGCTCATGTTTACCTCACATTGCCACAATCACATATTCCTAGTCAAAAAGCCGTTTGCGCTGCTCCTCAAAACAGGAATCGGGCCCACAAAACTTGCTGGTTCTCAGGAAATGAGTCGGAATGACCCCAACAAAAGCCATCCCCTAGGGTTTCCCTCCACTGAGCCCCAAAAAACCAAACTCGCCACACGCCGGGCGCGAAGGGGACGGGGAGCGCCTTGAGCCGCTGCTTGCGCTTCAGCTCCGTGGCCAGCTGATGGATCTGCGCCAAGTCCTCCGGCCGCGCCAGGCCCAGCTGCCGGCTCCGCTCCTCGAGATTTGGGCGTGGCAGAGAGGTGGGTGGGGTCTCCTTCTGGCAAAAAATGGTGGCAGAGGCGGACGTGTGTGTCTTCTTTCAATAGAAAAACCCACCTGAACGGGAAATTTAACCACTGAAACACGAAAAAGATCTAGAAACCCAACGGGATGGCTTCAACCCTACTTGACGAAAAGGGAGACACTGGGTGTGGCGTTCTTTCTCCGAAATCGGGAACACCTTGCTGGATCTTAAAAGGAACCAAGAGGAAGCCAATGTCGGGGAGTCAGCATCACCACGCAGAGAACCCCAAAAGAACCAGACGCTGCCCATGGACGATGACTCGTGGACCCCCAGTAAAGATGGTCATGTTAAGGCCGTCACTTGGGTGTTGATCACTATTCGCTGCGGCCCCCAAATGACCATGTGTAGCTTTGCCCATCTGGTGGTGAAAGTCATTTCGTTTCTGGTGTTGTCATGCTGTAAAAGAGCTTTTGATCAACCCCCACTTGAATGGACAGAGTCGAGGGCGACCTTTGTGCGAGGGAACGCAGTCGTCAATGCGGGGGCCTTTTATGCTTCACACCGCGCCCTGGAATGACACCAGCAACTTGCACATATTCGCAGCCCGCCAAAACAGTGAACACCTTCTAGAATGCCATACGAAGTCATGGCATTGCTAGACTTGCCAAACCACCAACCAGTTGCAAAGACTTGCTCCACTCATCTGTCGCGCATGTGGAAACGTCAAGCTCCCTTTGACGCATCTTGCGCATGTTCGAGAAGACAACATAGACACCGCCAAAAAGAAAATCGGTGGCTTGCATGTTCCTCTGTGTGAACAGTACTGGACTTTCTGCGCGATGTGACAAAGTCGCGCATGACGAGACTCACGGACTGGTAGATTCAGCGTGACGTGAAACACATCATGGTCACAGCTTCCCTCTAAAGCATACCAGCAGCTTGGTGTTTAAACATCCTGCTCTGGTCCAAGTACCTTCTCCCAGAGACGCAAATCTTCCATTTGGTTCAGGCCCCAGGAAAAAAATACAAATATGTCCAATAGTGATGAGTTCCTCTTAAAGCCAACAAGGGAAAACACATCTTAGGCAAATGGAGACACAAACTGCATGCCGGAGTCTCGAGAGTCTCCAAGTAGAGCATCTCCGCTTCCAGCCGGCCATCTTCCATCCCTTCAACAGGTCTAGCCTTAGCCACTCCTCCGTGCAAGGTAATGGCCTTGGCTACGAGAGCAACGGGTAGTCGTTATGTCTAATGTTGCCCCCAAATTAATCAACCCCTGTTTATTCATAGGGGGTGTGCCCCTCCAAAAGTGATGATTCCCCACTAAACCCAGGTCACCCCTCTATTAATCAACTGGGGTCAATTAATATGGGGGCAACATTACAACTGTGAGTGCCCATGTCATTTGCTGGGTGCAAGTCAATATTGGCCGTTCACATGAGGATCGGTCGAACTATGCGGCAGTCTATGGTTGGTCTTCTTTTTGTTGGGGGAGGGGGATGACGTTGGGGACTCACTCAATTCCCACAAAAACCAGTGGGATCACGGTTTCTCCGCATGGTGTAGGGTAGGGAAAGCCTTCCACAGCAAGCCAGCAATGCAGGCACATGTTTGTCCAGGCCAAGCAGTGCCCCTTGCGCGACACCCACATGCAAGTCCGGAACAAACTCAGCCGACGCCATTCAAGGTGGGGGGAAAGCTGCAAGATTCACATCATGCTGCGGAAATATTGCTTTGGGCCCACCTCTGTCGCAATAGGACATATGACCAACCATTTGGATAGTTTGGAGGGTCGCTTGTGAAGTGATTGAAACAGAAACTCGCACGAAGAAATTCTCGTTTTGATGAGTCACTCGTTTCGCGACACCCCGATTGTTCATTTCGAGCTGCCCACACATTTGACTGGCTTTCGCTGGCAGCGGCACACATGATCGGCACGCAGTACTCGGCCTGCGCTTTGCGCAGTACATCAGGATCAACGCAGATGCCACCATTCCCTTGCAGGTACACTAAGGTGGGGGCAATTGTGCCGCAATCAAACCCAACTGGAAGTGGTTGTAAATGCTCAGAACCTGTCCTGAATACGGAAACCCCTGTTTCATTCAGGTCCGGAAAGCAAAACCAGCAATCCCCTTCTGTGCTTTGTCCCATGGAATCGGAGCCATGGAGATGGCATGGGGCAAACAGCACAAGCCTTTTGTTTGGTGGACTCCGAAGGGAAGCCCTCCCCAAACAAGCATGGAAACAAGGGCATCACTGGAGGTCTGGGGTAAAACTTCTCGCCTTAAGCAATGTCAAGCTCCGAACTGAGCCATGAGCCTGTCGCCGTCTGTAAGCCGTCAGGTCACGGGGAAAAAGCAACATGCCAGCCATGCGGATCAAAATAGGGGACCCCTAAAATGGCTGGCTTGTGTTCAGCGCTTTCCTTCCGCCCACAAAAATACCAACTCCAAAAACACCCACACACACACACACACCCACACACTCCGTGTCCCCCGCAAAAAAATGGCATACTTTCAGTACTGATAAATTCCCGTTAAACAACAAATCCAACCTTCTTTTTCGCAAATGGAAGGCACATGCTTACTATACCATTAACTTGAACACCTGAGGAATTTGAAGAGAGAAACTCGGAGCCATAGGAACTCTGGGTTCCCACTTCACCTCGTCTCAGCGCTTATAGCCTCTGGACACCAACGGCCAGTTCCCATGGCTCAAAGAATGGGAGCCAGCTGCATATGTCATGAGCCAGGGGAACCGGAAGTCGGGCCGTCAAACGTGACATCGGAGCCCCGTCCCTTTGGTCTCCCCTGCTGGGGACCTTTCGCCTCAGAAAGAAAAAAAGGCAAGTGGGGTATGTCTTTGCTGCATTACCAAACCCCTGCCCCCCTCCCCAAAAAAAAAACACAAAAAGGAACAAGAAAAGAACAACCCCCCCAAAAAAAAGAACAAACAGAGGAAGACACACACAGAAACCCTTGGTTCTCCTACAAAACCCTCGGTATCCCCCCACGCCGCCTGGCCTGTCCGTCGGCCTCGCCGGGCCAGAAGCTTTGAAGCACCTGCGAGCCGTTGGCTCCAAGATGGGTGCGTCTTTTTGTTGAGGCTGCCCCCTTCTTTGAATGGTTTCCACGGGACACCTGCCATTTATTTATTTATTTTTGGGGGGACTCCTTTTGTTCGAATGGTTTCAAAGCGGAAACCCGCCCTTTTTTCTTGGGGGGGGGGGTTCCCTGAGAAAAGGACACACCTAAGATGGCTAAGAGTTTTGGCCTTGAATTTTATACTCCTGATTACACTAGGTAGAAGCACCTGCCATTTATTTATCTATTTTTGGGGGGACTCCCTTTGTTCGAATGGATTCAAAGCGGAAACCCGCCTTTTTTTGGGGGGGCGTCCCCTGAGAAAAGGACACACCTAAGATGGCTAAGAGTTATGGCCTTGAATTTTATACTCCTGATTACACTAGGTAGAAGCACCTAGATGGCTGAACCGGTTGATATTATAGCTTTTAGTAAAAAAATATAATAATAATAAATAATAATAGACAAATACAAAATAATAAAAATAATAATAATAATAATAATAATAATAAATAATAATAATAATAAATAATAATACTAATAATAATAAATAATACTAATAATACTAATAATACTAATAATGATGATCATAATAATAATAATAGTTATTACAATACATAATAATAGTAATAATAATAATAAAAAAAATAAAATAATAAATACATAATAATATTAATAATAATAATACATCATAATAGTAATAATAATAATAATAAATAATAAATAATAAATAATAATAATAATAAATAATAATAGTAAATAAATAATTATCAATAATAATAATAGATAATACATAATAATAATTAATAATAATAATACTAATAATTATAAATAATACTAATACTACTAATAATGATGATAATAATAATTATTATTACAACAATAATACATAATAATAGTAATAATAATAAAAATAAAAATAAATACATAATAATATTAATAATAATACATCATAATAGTAATAATAATAATAACAATAATAATAATACTAATAATAATACTAATAATAATAATAATAAATAACACTCATAATAATAATAATAATTTCATACATAATAACACTAAAAATAAATAAATAATAATACTAATAATAATAAATAATATGATAATAATAATAATAAGGTAGCATTGAGAACTCCACTGTCCTATTTAACACGTGAGCGTGGGGGCCTGCTACAAACATCCCCGCAAGCGTCGCCCCAAATCGTGCCTGCGGATGATTCAGGGGATGATTCAGGAGATGGTTTTGGGCAGGGGGGATGATTCAGGGGATGGTTCTGGGCAAGGGGGATGATTCTGAGGATGGTTCTGGACAGAGAGGATGATTGTGAGTATGGTTCTGGGCAAGGGGGATGATTCAAGGGATGGTTCTGGGCAGGGGGGATTGGTTTTGGGCGGGGGTGATGATTCAAGGGATGATTTAGGGGATGGCTCTGGGCATGGGGGATGTTTCTGAGGATGGTTCTGGGCAGGGGGGATGATTCTGAGGATGGCTTGGCCCGGGGGTGATGATTTGGCGCTTGATGCGCGGGATGTTGTTGCACAAGGGGGATGATGTAAGGGATGATGCTGGCGGATGTTTGGGGGATGGCTTAAATAGACAGATGCGCTCTCAAAGGTAGCATGACCCCCAAACTGCCAATCAAAGTTTTGGTCGCTCAATTCGACTTGAAACCCTGGTTTAGCCACAGTCCAACCTGCGTAAAACTCCTTGGGTGTCTCCTTGTTCCGAAAAGTTCAAAGGGCACCCTATGGCATCTGACGTCCCGGGTTGAGCCATCCATTTGCCTCCAGGTACTGGGTATGTCTGCTTTGGATGACCCTTTTGTTTGGGTTTAAAGGGAAGCCAAATGGAACTGCACGATGTTGGAAGTTCGAAGATCCTACTTCAGAGTGGCCCTTTCACAAAGATGTCCCCGGTTTATGGCCCCCCTGCAGACTCCAGATAGAGATAAACTATCTTCTCAAACCTATGCAAAGCTTAGGCTGGACGCCAAAACACAACCAAGTTGGGCTTGGAAAACAACTCACCAATGATGCTTGAACACAAATGCGGAATCACCCCCACCCCGCTTCCGAGACACAACAATTAGGACACCGGCTGGATTGTGTCAAGAATCAGATGCGTGCTTGAAGGGGTCATCTACTCCTGGAAACGGGGAATGGCAAAGGGACCACGACCCAAAATGGTTTCTCTTCGGGATTTGAACACCCCCCAAAAAGCGGGAAGGTACTCGGAAGCTACCCTCTTTCATTCGTGGCGGTTTTGAAAACAGCGGACGGATGCTCCCAACCCAAAACCCCCCGCCCCAACCCCCCCAAACCCTTCAGCGCCTCTTCCTGGCTGGCCCAATGCTCAGGCGAAAATCGCGTGGCCAAGATGCCGTGGCCCAAACCCTTCGGCAGCTCCTGGCGCCCCAAATGGGAGGGGGGATTCCCTTCAAGCACACCATGAGCCGCCGGCGAAAATAAACCTCTTCGCTTTTAAAGGCTGGTCATGGAATCGTGTCGTCTCTTCCCTTAGTCCTCCCGCAATACTTCAGCAGCCTTCCTATAGTCTTCCCTTGATCTGGTACTTACTTCTCATCTATCGTACTTCAACAGAATCTATATCCAAAGACCAACTTCTCGTTTGCCAAGGCCTTGGTGTAAGCTTCGTCTGGCCCTCATTTCCAGAGATCCTCGCGCCCTCAAGGAGCTGCCACATGCACAATGAGGATTCTTCGGCCTTAGACTCGCCTTCGTTTTAGGGAAGTCTTTAGTGCACTTCAATGCATATCCCTGGTACCAACGCGTTTGGTGGTATCTCAAAGGGTACATGAATGTCTCAAAATATGTAGGGAACCCAACCAACGGTTGTTTTCCCTTTTGGGATCCCTTCAAACCATCATTAACAAAGGGGTGTGCGCAAAAACCCACTATTCTTGGTGTGACTCTCTTGGTATATCTTGGTATCACATACCCAAATCCTTGATGGCCGTAATCCCAACTACAACTTGCTACATGTGGAAAGGCCAATGTGTTACAACCACCTACAGGGCTTAGATTTTATCCTTAAACATCACACCAACAGGAAACACAAAGAACTGGCAACCAAAACGGTGAAGTGAAGGGTTAAAACGGGAAATATGGGCGTGTCTTAAAATAGGAGAAGCAAAAACAAATCCTCTGCTTGTCCTTCTGGTTTTCCTTTAACACCAGGCAACACAGGGTACCCTAAAAGAAAAACACACTCTCAAAGAAGAGGACCCCCGAACCCTGCCAGAGCCGCCGTGGTCCGTCCTTCCCGGCGCTAGCGAGCACTTCGATGCCCTGGTCCCGTTGGCATGTAAGCATCTCGAAGGTTCCTCGGACTCGGACTCGGAGGTTTTGCTGGGCTCTATGTTTCTCGTGCACAAGCGCAAGCCTCGTTTTGCTCCCGGATAGCCTCCCAGAATGTGAGCCAGCCTCTTGTAAAGGGGCGTGGGGCTCCCAAGAGCTTCCCAGCGAGGACTGCAAAGCTTCCAGATTGGCCCTTATGCGCGAGCAACGCCTACCAGACCAACACAAACAGGGCTCGCTGTGCAAATAGGACAAGTTGACTTCCATGTCTGTGATAGTGGTTTCATGCCTCCAACCTTGCCATCGCAAAGTTTCAGGCTAGTGTATGGACATAAATGGCTGTGGGTCAAAAATAGGTACCCCAAAATAGAACCCTAGTAAGTGGAAACATGGACCAAAACCTGCGGTCCCTGGTGGTTAATTTTGACCCATACCCAAATCATTATGGATACTTCAATGACCACATCAAGTCATGATCATAGAAAGCAGCATATCATTTGGGAGTGACGCGGGAAATGTCACACACAAACCAGATAATTGTCCCGTGTCATCTCGAGGAATCAAGCCCTATTAAATTGGTGGGTTGATGAATAATGCTGAACCGGTAATAATCAACCCCTGTTTATTAAATGTTTATTAATAGGGGGGTGTCCCTGCGTTTAGTGGGGAACTATCACTTTTGGGGGGGGGGGGGGGTGTTACCCCCCCATTGATAAACAGTTTAAACAGGAGTTGATAAACATGGGGTCAACATTATGGGGTCAACATTACTAATCAGGGCGCTCAAGTCCGTGTAGTAGTAGAGCACCGCGCTCTCGGACCCGTCCCGCAGGTCCAGCGCATAGGCCCACACACGGATGCCCGTCCTGCGAGCGGGTTGAACTGCTGCGACCCCTTGTTCGACATATACATACATATGTACGTGTATATATATATATATATGCTTGTCTATTTTTTGCGTGGGAGAAACCCTCCTATGTTGACGCAAAAGTATTGTTTGGGGGAATTCGACCTGGCTGGAGCCTTTGGTTGTGGAGGATGCTCCATTGAAAGCCATATCATGGAAGTCTGAACACACAAAATAATAACAGACTGAACCAACAACCCAACGGGCCAGGTCTCTTCGCAACATCCGGACAGTGCCGTCCAAAGGTTGAGCCCAAGGGGGGCAAATTTGTTTAGAATGTCCTTGGGTGCTGTAAATCCCCCAGCAAAAAGTTTAACTTCTTGCTGGTTAAGAGGAAATATGAGGGGAATCCAAAAAGTTAAAGTCTAAAGATCCAACCCAACAGCAGTAGAGTGTCGTACAACATAATTGCCGGCTCCTCAAATGGACGAAGACATCCTCCTCCTGGCTGTACTCTGCAGGATCCGCGGAGGCATCCGGGCACGAGGAGCTGCTGCCCATCGCAAGGGGAGCCCCCAGCGAGCGTTTCGAGCCGCTCGGCTTGGCGCAGTTGGAAGCGATCAGCTTTTCTTGCTGGTGCGATAGGCAGGGAAGGAGGAAATGAACCCAGTCCCCTTAAAGGAAACCACCAGTTGGATGGTTTATAAGGGTCATTCCATTTCTCATTCCCTGAGCACCCCCAGCAAGTTTTTGCCTTGAGAAACCAGACCCACGGCCGAAACTAGCACCCGGGTCCCAACTTGCTTGCTTTTTGGACATTGGGATTTTGGACTTGGTGGAAAAAGCGGGCAAGTTGGGGGGGGGGGGGGGGTTGCTTGGAAAGGGTGGTTGATTTGTTGTTGTCCCAAAAGGGCATCCCATTTTTGAGAGGGTCAAATTCCCACAAATGAATCAAATGTAAAAACCAACAACCGTTCAACAATCAGCACCCCCAACTTGCCTGCATTTTCAACCATGCCAAAAATCCCAATGTCCAAGAAGCGATCGTTGGGTGCTGGAAAGGGTGGTTGATTGGTTGTTGTTTTCCCTTGAAACATGAAGAACAATGCAGCTGGTCATTGCTCCGGGTTGGTGGCATGGAGGTGAAACGGGGTGGTGTCCAATCTTGGGGGTCAAACCCCCGCTAATCCAAATCACCAACTATAATGGCTCCTCACAAGGCTTCTTATGCCACATAGGACTTCTGTTTAACCACAATTGATTCGATATTGAATAGAATATACATGGAGGGAGGCTGACATTTGACCGGGAACAAAATGGGCACGCGGCCAAAAAGAAAACCTCCAAACACAAAATGGCGAGATGCCCTTTGTCGAACATGCCTAAAATAGCGGTCCCTACCCAACCTTGCAGACAAAAGCATAAAGTGCCGACTAGTGCCGACTCAAAAAAACAAACACCAACTGATTTATTCCACTACATCAAAAAATCAACTGCCGCATACCCAACCTTGAACCAAAAAACAAACGAGCAGTGCCGATTCCAAGAAAAGCACCAAACATCTGGAGGTCTGTCAACCTGGGTGCCGGGCTCATTGCTCTCTCCATGGCCTTCTCAACGTCCTTCTCCTCCTCCGCTTCGTTGATGGTGTCCAGAACCTCCCTTCCTAGCGCTTCGGGGCAGATGGGATGGGATGCTCAACCAGGAACGCCCATGCGATGTTTCGGGGGGAAACGAAGAACCGCGCGAAGCCTTTAACCTGGGCAGAGAGAGAGAGAGAGAGCTACACCTACACACACACACATGCGTGTCTGTGACATGCTGCGCCGGCATGAGGAATGCCTGAGGCATCAGCTCGATAGCGACAGATATTGATAGCATTTGGCAATGATGAATGCAGTTTTGGACAGTGCTTAGCGTCCAACACTTCAACACACCGTTGATCATGATCCTGCAGCCCCTAAGTTTTAGTGCAAGGCCGGAACAAACCTACCTGTTTGCCCAAGGCCCAAAAGGGCATGGAACATGTGGGGCCCCCTTGTCCCCCCTCGTGGCTGAAACGTTAGGTGGCCCCGCCTTTTCGTCCAACTCTACCAGCTTAAGGGCCAAGCACTTTGTGAGGATGCACTTTGGCAGCAAAGGACCCCTTTCCGGTAGAGCGCGGAAAGGGAATTTGGACCTGGTTTCCTGAAAAGACCTCCGAGTCTTTCTACAACTCCAACCGCTGTCCTGCCTGTGTGTTCATTGTTCGGAAGGGCGGTCCTCTTAGGAGATTTTTTGGGAGTGGGTGAGGTCCGATGATCTGGAACTTGGGTGTCCTTTTGGAGGGTGCGCTTTTCTCCTTGGTTTCTTGGGGAAAATCAAAGGAACACAACACCTAATTTAGGTTCCACCGGCATTGGGAACCGTCCGTTTCGGGTTCGTCATGTTGTTTTTCCTTCCCGACGGGCAGTCCTGGGCTCTCCTTCTTCCCAAGGAGCGCAGAAAGGCCGGAAAGGCCTAAGAGTCAACACAGATCTTGGATTCTCCATTCGTGCCTTTTCTTGGGGACCCACCCCCTATGGTGGACACTGAAGGGGTCTATTTTGGCAACCTCCATCCTTTTTGGGCAAAGGTTGTTTAGGGTTCTTGGTTGCAAGATAGACTCCAGGTGTCCATGACACCCCCCCCAAAAAAAAAATAAACATAAATGTGCATGTGTTGGTTTCTTTTAAAACTGCCAAAAAGGGACCCTCAAAAAAAAAGTCACATGAATTCTAGCTGTACCTTCCATGTCCGTTCTGGGGTTTCTGAAAAATGATGGGTGAAGAGAATGGGCAGTCAGCCCGAAGATGCATGGCGTGTCAAAGTAGCGCAAACCAACAAAGGTCGTTCCTTATGTGTTCCCTCAAAACAAACCTAACAAAGGGCTGCCCGAAAAGCACACCACGCACAACAGCACATGCCTGAAACCACAAACAAACACAAACAGAAACAGAAACACAAGCACACACACACACAAACACTGAGACAGCCTTCAAAGGTGGCCAAAAAAATAGCCCAGGAGAAACAAAGAGTCGAAGTGCTCTTGGAGCAGTTGAGCTCGGTGAAACAACAATTTTAGCCCAGGCACTTTTTTAGGGATGCAAGGTCAAACTGCACATTCAGAAGCAACGCAAATCCTGGAAAAAAATGCGCCTGGAATCAAAGTGGCACACCTTTGTCAATGGGGTGCAGCTGAAAGCAGTGCTACAGGCTACAGAACCCAAGCCTCGCCGGCTGATTGGTCGACAGCATTGGGCGCGTGAGTCATCCCTTTTACCGATTTGACTGGAGAGGCCAAAAAGAGGACTTCCCCCAAAAAGGCTGCCCAAAAAATCCCCCAAAATGAGACTCCTCTGAAAAATAAAGCTGTTTTTTTTTGGTTGCCCGGGCATTTGCATGTAAATGTTGTTTTGGTTTAATCTTCAAAAGGATCGAAGCGAAACACCTCTTGCGACCCAGGTCCCAGGTCGAGAGCACAAGATCGCTTGGTGAATCCCCTTCTTATCCCTAGAGGTCTTTGAAACTGCCCCAACTCGGCTGAGTGGATGGCCCAAGAAAAGTCCAAACTTTATATTTACCACTGAAATGGTCTTCCCGAAAAGTTTAAAGTTCACGAATTCACAAAGTGAGCCAAGGAATTCTTGAACAACCTACACATCCCCTGATCCCTGTTGGGTTGTAACACATCCCAACCTGCAAATCTCTGAGCACGCCACAGGAACAGAGCCATCGCTCCGCACCTGCGCGGAGTTCGTTTCTCCGCGGCTGTACTCGCGTGACCAGCTTCCTCGTTGAAGGTCTTACAGAGTCGGCTTCCGAGATCGCAAATGAAACCCATGGATAAACGTTGGGCTTGTCTAAGACCCAGCCCAAAGTTGTGTTTTAAGATTAACACAACCAAAAGCAATGCAAGATGTGATTCATGCCACGGATTCGGATCCTGCTCAGCTCGTGGAACCAGACTTTTGGGACGGTTCGCGGGAGGCCAGCCTCTCGCTCAAGGTCGCTGCTTTGGCTGGGCTTGGCGAAAATCCGTGTCAAGTTGAGGGAGCACAAGAGGGGTCACGGGATTTCCCCTGCGAAACTTGCAACTGTCTGGTGGTGTCTGTCGAAACTGCAACTTTCGGAGGTTCCACAAAGTGAAATGGAGTAAAGCCTGACAGAACTCTGCTTCTCGGCCAAATTAGCACAACAGGACACCATGATGTTGACGAATGAGCTACGGCAGTTTGTGGTCTCAAGAGGGCAGGGGACAATCCCACAGCTTTGGGACATTCGGCTGGGCTCCGCATGCTGACACTCCACCAGGATGGTTGGACAGAAATCCCCCCTGCAAATGCCCGCCATTTCAGGTTCCCAATGACAGTGCCATTGCATTTTCAATGCGCAAGAGTCCCTTTCGACCTCCAAATGGCCATGGGCAGCAAATTCCAATGTACCCAGGAAGTCTTAGACTAAACAAAGTTAAGTCTTTGTTCAAAGACCGAAGTTTGGCTTGGAAGACCGAACTTTGACTTGCGCTATTTCTTCCAACCGTATCAGCAATATTACTGGTCATTTTTAGGACGTTGGCCCCGCTGAATGTTTCCGCAGCAACATATTTGAATACAGGTATATATGTTTGGTTGTTGCCACGCCGATGGCGCTAGATCTCGTCCACTTGCTCGACATGCGTTGGCGTTTTGCGCTGCCCTGCTTGTTGGCTCGCTTCCTTTCAGATTTCATAAAGAACACCGTCAGCTCCTCCCGAAAGCGCACACACAAACGGCTGAACGGCTGAAAGCAACTTGTGCATGTCACATGGTCAAATGGTATAGAAGGGGAAGGCTTCAACAGCATGAAGACGAGCTATGGCAACGCACTTTCCATTCGTACCCGAGAAACAACTAAACGCGCGCAACCAAACAGCAGCATCGCAACCCGGCCAAAAGAAGCCAGGAAAAAACACCCATAGCCAGAAAGGGGCTACATACCAACCTGCACTCCTGAAGCGCATTTCGTGCGCTCCTATAAGGTCAGCTGTTCTGCTTTGTGCTTCTCGATTGTTCAGGCCAGTTATGCTGAACCCATGCTCACAGCTTGCAGAGCGTAGGAAGCCGTACTACATATCAAGCGCATAAACAATTAGGAGTATGTGTGCGAGCCACTACGATGTGTTATGTCTGTTCGCCTTCCGCTCAGGTGCCATTCCGCTACACTCAGTAGAACTGTGTGTCGATCCTTCCTAGCATTTCAACATGTAAGTGTCTCCGTCGCGCTTCCATCCGCCATGGCTCCAACCAGTATTTTGCGGTTGCGGTTGCCCATTTGTATCTTGTGACACGCACGACGTCAAAGGCACACCGGCGACAACTGTAGTCTTATGCACTGCAGGACCACGCACGCTTGACAACATCCATGAGCGCCTGTGTTACTGTGACATAAACCAAAATTAGGACCGTGTATCGAAAAGCGAACGTATGTGGCGCTGCCAAGAATCTTGCCCTCATTACTACGTCTTCCCACAGCAGGGCGATTATTCGCGGACAACTGAGTTGCTATGGAGCACTTGCCTGTGACATTTGGAAAACGTGGGGCGTGATGCACCCGTGACGGAAGCGTGGTAAGACCAAACTTTACCGTGGTAAGACCAAGCTTTGCCGTGGTAAGACCGTGGTTTGCCACCCCCGCCGAAATCTCGATTCTGTGCGCTGGATGCCGTGCTGTTTTTTGCGAAATTGTTCCGAACATGTTGGCTTAGGGTTGCTAAGCGTTGGCATTTTTAGAGCCTAGGCCGGTAGTCAACGATCAAGCGCGCATGAGGCAACTGTCTGCGATCCGCAAAACACATATACTCAGAAACAAGCTGCCACGATATGCGTGCCAAGGATCTACTGCCGCAAGTCGCACGCTGCTGCAACCACATCAGCAACAACATTGACAGAGTGGTTTTCCGCTTACCGTTGTGTTTGTCATTTGCTCCTGCCCACTGCCATCGGCCAAGTAAATGGCCGGATTTGGCGTTGAACTTTGTAGGGCTTTGCAAGTAGCGCTCGTGGCGCAGCCGGCAATGATCCACATAGGTGCATGCCACGGCCTGTAATTAGCTTGGCTGTTGCTACGGTGTCTCAGTAAAGCAATGAATGGAAGCTTAGCCAAGAAGGGAAACAAGGCAAGAAATTGCCCACAAAACACGACAGCGCCAATGAGTTCCACAGAGTTGCAAGATGTCGTTGCAATCGCTTTTAGGCTGCAGGCCTGGGCTTTAAACAGCGTAGTGACAGAGCGTTTGTTATGTTCAACTTGCTGTGATATTGCGTGCAACATAGCATGTATCAGCATTTGACAGGGCGGCGTGGCTCGTGACACCACTAGTGTGAGTTCTATCTCGCTTGGGCATCCATGCGGTGGAGCCTGCAAAGAGAGTAAAATGAAGGGAGGCAAGCGCACGGTCTGCTAGAGGCTTGTGAATGTGAGTGTGCGTGGGCGTGCGTGCTAACATATGTGTTTTCGGTGTCAGAATGCAACGGCAGATTGTAGAGTCGTCGTTTTTGCCGCAGCATTTCGAATTCATGTTTCTTTCCACACATATTGTCTGGGCATTATCTGCTCCAGCAGGGCCAGCCAGTCTACCCCTGTTGTATCCGCGTGCGCAAAACGCATGGACCTTAAATTTCTGGATCTCTCTGTGACACGTGCACAGGCATAGTCGTTCAACACACATTCCCCCTCATTCCTGATGACCTGGCCAGGATCTGAGTCCGGGCGTGATTTGCGTGACGCGCGTGATCGCGGCAAAGAATGGTCTACTGTAGAAAAACCGTTCTTTACATAGTCTTTGGACTTCCTGGGTGTAGGAAAGTCACCTCTTTGGTTGTTTTCCCGGATGGTCATCCCATGGAAGGACCTTTTGATCCACCACATTTGTTTAGGCTACGGGTTTTGGGGCGGTTGAAAAGGGAAACTGGGAAAACCAACATGCTTGTTTTTTGCTTCTTTTGGGGGAGTCCCAAAACATTTCGATCCCAACCAAATGCCAAACAGCAGTGGCGTCATCTGCAACCAGCCGCCCCCGGTTCCCATCCGGCCGCTGTGCTCGAGCGCATGTTCCAACTCCTGGCTCAAGCGCCGGCTCGGGATACAAAACTCGGTGATCCTTTTGGAGGTGGTACCCCATGATTTAAAGGGAAACCAAAAGGAAAGAAAACACCATTTGCTGGGTTCCACCAACAAAAAAGGAGCCACCCATCTGGGGCTAGAAATCAGAATTCATCCAAACACCAGCTGAGTTGGATCCGAGTCCTTGTCAAGCGGATCCTTTACGGAACTATGATGCTGGCCGAGTACAAAGCTCATGGTCAGCCCCAAGATGGAAACTCTAACCCGTGTTTTCTTTGTGGATGGGGTACCACAAAGTGCGCCCCAAGCATCCTCAACATTGTTAATTGGAAAGAGCTCTCCTCAGGAGAAGAACAAAAGCACCCTAAGACGTTGTCTCAAAGGCGCTGGGGCTATCTCAAATCGGAGGAAGTAGACGTGTACAGCTCACCGCCCCAAAGCTTCACATCCACAGCTTCCCCGCCATCGTCTTCGCTCTCAGGTCTTTCCGCTCTTCCATGAGATTCTGGACCAGCTTCTCCTGGGCGCTGAACAAAAATATGGTAAGGCCAGGCATGGCCATGGGTCAACAGCCAAATCGTACCCCCAGTGAAAATCCCAATCCCCACTAAAATTGATTCTAAAATGGATGGTGCACCTACCCCAAAATGGGATCCCATGGGTTGTTAACCCACAGCCGCATGAGTTTGTGCTCATGCGCAAGAGCGCTTTCGTCTCAATGCTTGTGTTAGGTGTTGATCAACCCCTTCAACCGGCTGTACAAATCAGTGCCAGGGAGTGTATACAAGCCATCAGTGACCGGCCACAGTTCAAACAGTGGTCAGAAATTGAAGACACAGAACTGGAGTGTCTGGAAAGTTGCGCCGGACCGTACAACTGTACAATGCGACGTGAACACATCCGGTGGCAAACTACAGCCAGGACCAGCAAACACACGTGGCCAAAATTAGTTTAAGAAAATGGACCATGCCCCACATGTTCAGGGATCACACAAGGTTTCGTAAGCAGTACGTGTAGCGGCTTAAAAACGGCTTAAACAAAACACTGCAGAATCTTGAGTGGATTGAACACAATTCAAGTGGCCCCGTCCCGAAGGACCGAACAAAGGACATGTCCAAAAAAGTGGACCAATGCAAACCCACAAGGTTATCAGGGCAATACGCTTTGAATAAAAAGCGCAGAAGCACCGCTGCCCCAAGCCTTAGCACTCCCATCTGGCCTTCGCCTGGAAGTCAACCTCCAGTGCCCTGAACAAGGCTCTGGGGAGGCTCTGAGAAGGTACCCACTTCCATCCAAACTTGTTTACCACATGATCTTAACAAGCTTAAGGTCTAACTCGGGGTACCCCTGCGCGCAAACTGCCACCCTGCCAGAACGCTATGCAGCGAGTCTTGTTTGGGAGATGTTCCTTACCTGCTTCTGTTGCCAAAAACACAGAGGAGGTTGGCGAAAAGAATCGTGTCCGGGTTTTACCTCAGTTGCCCCAAGGGGACCCAGAAATGAAAGGTGATCACCTTTTGAAACCCTGATTCAACATGGACCAAGTGCATGCCCAGTTAAATTGTCCGTGCCGTCAGTCGGCTCATGCGCAGCTCCGTTCAGATTGGTCGGTGCTTGTCACGCAAACACTTGCCCCAGCATCGTCCTATTTTCATGGGTTTGCAACAACCACACACACGCCGTAGCGACAACACTCGCACACACAAAGACACAGTCACAGATACAAACAAACAAAGAAACACAGGCACAAACAAACAAAGAAACAAAGAAACAAACAAACAAACAAACAAACAAGCAAAGACACACACACACACACAAAAAGCCCACACACACACACAAGGACAGAACGACAAAAAGACAGAACGACACCAAGACACAAAGACACAAGACACAAAGACACACACACACACAAAGACACACACACACACACATTTGATAACTACAACCACTTGGATCTCCATGCCCCAATATCACCAGAAAACTCCCACTGCAAACCGAAAGGGGACCTTCGAAACCAAAAGGAAAACCCTTAAGAACGATATTCAGGCGGCTCCAAGTGCTTGTGGGTGATGATGTGAGTGCTTGAGATGGGTCTGGGTACCTTGAGTCTCCTTACCCTCAAAAGATGGTGTCTACCTCTCCAAAGGGTCAAAAGGAGCAGGCGAGCATAGGGTCGGGGCCCCCTCCAAAAGTGATGAACCCCACTAAAAGGAGACCATTCATCAACCAGCTGCGGTTTACCATTGCTACGAAATTAAGTGGGTACTTTGAAACAAGTTGTGACATGTTTGTACGGGAGTACTACTCCCCCTGCAACGGAAAAAAAAATCCTCCAAAAAGGCGATCCTCGCAAGGACATTTGTCAAGATGATAGCGTTTTGGTTTTAAGTTCCATCTAAATCTGGGGAGTGTGTGTGGTGGCCTTTCAACCCAGCAAACCACGGCGGTACTTCTCTCGCCCCCAATAAAAAACCTACACCAGCCCATTCCTCCCTCCGCGCCTCTCGTGAGCTTTGGTGACCCGCAGCTCTCTCTCCTCCTCCCGCAGCTTGGCGGCCAGCTCCGACTCCTGAGAGCTCGCTGGGCACGAGCAACTGGAAGCGAAAGTGGGGGGTGGGGGGGGGGGGGGGTGGGGGCCCAAAAGCAAGTCATTGCTTGCTGAGGTTGTTTGTTTTTTGTGGGAGTTGAAGCATAGGTTGGCCCAGAGCCAAGCGAGTTGTTGAGAGAAGCCGGGACAAAAAGCCAGCCCTCGTAACTTCATTTGAGGGGATGGGTCATTCTCAACTTGAACTGTTCGTTGGTTCGAACCAACAAAGCCGAGCACAAGGGAGCACTCAAAGCAACGAACACCCATCTTGTTCCCGAAACATATCTTGGCCCATCTGGGGTACACAGAAAGTAGCGTGTTCAGATTCTGTGCCATACCACTATGTAGTCTAGCCTAAAGAAACAAACACCGTTTTGGAGGAGACCCCCCCCCAAATATGGGCACTGGTATCCACTTGGGAGTACATGCCGGGCAAGTTTTCTCTGCTTCCGACTGCTTCACGGGCGGTGCCCTCAGGAAGCTTTCCATTGGTCCAACAGGCAACTAACAACATCCCTGCCCCAAGTCTTGACGAACCGGTCACCTGCGGCAAACCTGTTGTTGTTTGGCTATTTGTTTGATTTTGTTTGGTTTTTCGGCACTATGGTTCAAACAACCGCTTCTTTCCTCTTCAGAGTCTGGTTTCAACTCAAAGCACGTGGCCCCAGTTGCATTTCAAGGGGAGCTCTGGGCAGCGCAGTGATGCGATTCGGACAATCCCTGCAGCACGAGAGCAAGCCACAGCATCACGCAACCTTTGCGGTGCATTGATCCCTGGCAGGAAGCCAAACTTGCGGCACATGTCACACAAATCCCTCCAACCGCTGACAAAGTCAAGTTGGGAAGTGCCAATAAAAACAGCGGTTGACAAATGATTAGAGATGAACGCTCTTGTGATTGGGTTGTATATCTTTGCCTGACTCACATAGCTCAAGTTGCGGAGGTGCCCCTAAGCATGTGTGGAAAGCTCAAACATCAGTCTCACATGAGGTGATATACTCCGTGTTCACCCCATCAACCTCCTCACCCCAAACAAATAACCAATTGATGTACCCCACATTCTCATGAACCTCCCTAAAATAATTTGAAGTTTCTTCTAGTGGCGACCCTAACTTCTAGCCAAGCTGCTGATGCAGTTGCATCACTGCTGCGGCGTGAGACTCCTCGGTGAGAGGAACTTGGCCCTTTTTCCGCGCCTCCGGAAAAGTGACCTTCGAACTGATCAAATGGTGTATGTGTGTGGGTGTCTATTAAGTGTACGATGTGTACATGGGTATATGCCTTCCACATGTATGTAATGTTCACGTACGACGTAGAACTTGTTGTTTGTTGCTTGTTTCCCGGTTCTCTATTAAGTGTATGATGTGTACATGCGTAAAAGACGCCTCGCCTTCCACATGTACGATCTGTATACCCACAAAAGACTATGTATGTGAACCCACGAAGATCGAAACGGTTAAACGAGGATCCAACAAGTCGTGTGAAAATTGCGACAGATGCTCACGTGAACAGCTTCTTGGGATTTGCAACAGCGCCAAGATAGATGCCTCTGGTGGTGCACCTATCCCAAAATGGTACCATTGGTTGTGACCCACGGCCATATTGGTTGAACCTAGGTCCCTGGCCCCGCACAAAGGTCTCGCCGCGCATAAAGGTCTCGCCCCGCGTAAAGGCTTCTCTCCATCCGGGCTCAAAGCTCCCCATCATCTCCTGAAGTAAAGCCGAGCCCCAGCCAAGTCAAAATCAAAAGCCGATGTCCACCTCTGATTAATAAAGGAGGCCACCCCCCCCCCCCACTTCCCTAAAAAAAGCTAAACGATGGTTCAAATCGCCAACCTGGTGTTAAAAATGCCAACCCAAAGCCATGCAATGTAAAGGATAAAGAAGGCGGCGAAGGCACCCATATACGTTTGGACTGCCCCAGAAACCAACCTTCATCTACCCAAGCTTTCA